AGTTTCCAATCGTGTAAGAGTAAAATTTGAGCACTGCGGTAGAATATAATTCCATTTTAGTTGACTTATTAGATGTATCACACAGTGGAGCAATATTATTTACTGGATTACGTTTCAGACATAATTTATTATTCATAGTCGTCTGACTAGGATCTACTGATTATGGCCTAGCTAGGTTTATCTGCTCGGTTAGCCTAAGTGACCCAGAGAATTTAACACCTGTACAGAATTACCACACAAACAAGGCATCTCAGAAAGAGCACGTAGGATCTTCAACAAGGATGGGGTTAGAGTGGCATTTAAAGCTACGAACTCACTTGAAAATAAGCGCAGTAGGTTAAAAGATCCTGTTGATCCAATTGGGCAGAATAATTCAGTTTATCAAGTCCCTTGCAATAACTGCGAGGTCAAATATATGGGTCAGAGTAGTTGACCAGGCTCAATCAGGTTATCCGAGCACAAAACTTTAGCTAGGCTGAAATTAGTACATCCTAGTAAGATAAGGAATTTAGAAAAATGCTCGACCACATCTATTTATGCAATTATACACAACCACAGAACAAAATGAGACAATGTGGAAATCCTTAAAACTAACTTAGCAGGGTGGAGAGAAAGGCTGATAACTGAAACCTTGTTTATCGAGTCAACACTTAATGTCTGTAAAAGGAATGACTTAGCACCTGTTCAGGGTATTTGGGAAATCCTATTACCCATATCACAAAAGATGCAAGGAAATTAGGACTGTATAAAGGATATCCCGAAGGTGTGTAGTTATAAATAATACTGCAACATTATATGATGATATATCCAATAAATTAACCAAAATAGAATTATCTTCAGCTTTCTTTGACCAAATCAGTATTTATATGTGAATTGACTTAGTAATTGCATTACTTATATAATCTTAGTATTTTATTCCTTTCATACTAGTAACATTCTGTGCTATACAGGTAAACAAATTTCCTAATTTTATTTTCGAGACTTTTCTTTACAAAATCAACACTTTTATGCAAATAATGTAAAACACTGTTTACTTACACGACTGAAAGTAAGGTGTAATGAGAAACAGGTTTCTGGTTCATATCTGATTACTTTAATATGGTTTGACTAATGACTAAAATGATATTACTATACCTGGTCAAGTTTTAAAGACACTTATTTGTCTTCGTGGCACAGACGAGGAAGTCAGAGTAGCCAGGATCGGAAAGACAATAAGACAGGCCTTCCTGCATTTACCTGAAACCAGTGTAGAGATCTTCCTCACTCAGCACAAAGAACAAGATCTGGATTTTCAACAACAATTCAGTCAAGTCAGTGCTTCTATGTGATGGTTGAGAGACTTAGCGCGTTACGAAAGGTATTTCCAACAAACTGTGGACACTCATCAACAGCTGCCTACACTGGCTCGATACTGAAGATGGAGATCAGATGGCCAGAATAATAAGAATAAGGAAGAAGGAACTCTGGCTAGCAACGAACCAACCAAGAACCTATCATTGAACAAATATGCAGAAGGGAGTGGAGATGGATTGGATGGTGCATACACTGAGAAGGCTGACTGGGGACATCACGTGCCAGGCCGGTTACTCGAGTGGAACGCAGATTGGAAATGACGAGTTGGGCGTCGGTGCCGAGGGTGACATGGGGGAGATGGTATGATGAAGAGATGAGAGATTGTGGGCTGTCGTGGAGCCATGTTGAAAATATTTCAGAGAACAGAGTGTAATGGAGACGTGTTATTGAAGTCCTATTTTCCACTAGGAACCCAAGGGACAAACAACATAATAATAATAATTTGTCTTATTGAGTGACGAAAAAAGGACAAAAATGAAATCTATTTTAGTATACCCTAATAAGTACTAACTTTACGGTTTACCAATCCTAGGTAAACTGTTCCACCGTATTACCTATACTACTGAGCGTTAACTGCAATAAGCTGTTAGGAAGTCGGACAGAGTAATTTTGTAGTAATATATTGATACCAGGCATGTTTTTTGGTAGCCACAGCTATTTTCAAGTGTTTTGTTTCACACCTGTTTAGTGAATCAGGCAGATTTAAAATTCCTGGATGAAATGCATAAAATGCGAAAACCAATGGATGCAACAGGTTTTGAATTGCATATTTTTAGTCCAAAGATTAATGCTAATTGCTATTTTGGATACTGCAATTCTATAACCAACAGTCATCGAGTGCATTAGCCTGATACTCTTTATATTCAGTTACTTACAGAAAAGGAACCAAAGTACTGAAAGCATTTTATTTCACTTTGACTCCTTTCAAGATTGAGTCTAAATAAAGACTTCCACAACGGCTACTGGTTCCTTAGTACTAATAAATGTTAATAATTCAAACGTGCATTATGATCACTAACTGAAGAGACACAATACTGTTGTGTCTTGTGTTATATGTTAACAGTCGACTAATAGCTCAGGTAACTTAAATATAGAGCTTCTGACTTCAGTCAGTCAGCAGTGACATGAAACCTGAAATTGATGTAAAAGAGTTCCACTTGTCATATCTCAAGTCAGTGCAAGAAAAATGACAGTAAGGAAAAACATAAGGGAACTAAATAATGTGATCAATATTTGGAGATGGTCATAAGCAAAGATAAAGAGAGTAGTACAGTGGATCAATAGTAGGCAGATGTCACAAGAAGCATTATTTGACAGAAGATAATTGACACTTGTGCATCCATATCGAGACTTCATTAGGCAGCAACCCACTGAGGCTGTTCCAAATTTTAACTAAAGTGAGCTGATCAACCCAATAAGACATTTAACTTTCAATTTACAGACAAAGTCTTAACACTAGTTAGTCATAGAGCAACAACTCGACTTTTTATGGTAGAAATATATCTTAATTATTTTCACATCGAAAATTAAGCTCTCCAGAAGATTGTACCTTGTTAATGTCTTCTGCTAGCAGTGATCTGTCCTCTACGTCTACTGTGTTTAGTGGGGACCATCCTGGGAATATACTGATCTTAGTGAGGTCTGATGAAGGACAGAAGGGGTTGTCCATAAGCCTATCTGTTATGAAGGTTAACAAAGATGGAAATAGTTAACATTCTCGACAGATATCACTCGAAATATCCAACTCATCTGACAGCTCACTGTAGGTTCTAAAAACCTAAGTGTGACCCAGCATATAGTAATGATGGTAAATGGCTAGCAGTGGAATCCAGAATGCGTCTTTCGTCCTACTTGGAACTTGTCAGCTGTATATACCTGCCTCCCAGTGAGTGATGTTATTCACGCTGGGATTCCAGCTCAGAACCGATAGCTTCGAACGCTACAGAATTATCCACTATACCACCAAGCCAAGATAGCAACTTCTTGTGAACACAGGCAATATCAAGGCATTCACACAAAAGCCCATATACCAATAAAGACCGATCAATTTGGTCCAGTCAACGACGGTATGATGCAAGCAATAACACTAGTACTTAATAATTGTTTATTTCAGTGGGATAGAGCCATTTAACCTATTGGTCGACAGCGTAGAAAAGTACGGCTAGTGTTGGTTCAGGTAAGTAAACCAACCTCCCGCAGGTCCGAGAAAGGGTTTTAATCTGGTCGTTAAACCCACAGCCAGTTCTGAAACATGTTGTTCCCTAGAATGTTTTGGGAGTTTGTAACCAAGCTTTTTTAGTTTTTCACGATGTTCAAATCCTTCAGGAATGTTTTCAAATGCTCACCGCTAGTTTTATAGTAGAATATAGATAGCAACAGGCTTCTTAAAGATAGGTAACGCTATCATATTCGATAAATAATCAATCTACTTTTCTTCAGAAGCGACTTTAGCATCCCCATAACTAAATTGATGTTGTAAATGTTTCCTGGTTGTTTATGTGCAAACTCCAATAGGAGCGGCAATTTGCCACCAAATGTCTACAAAGATGATTGGAAGCGATATGATTCATCCGTGTCCCCTGTTGAGTTAGGAAGACTAGATGATGTGTTAGAGAAGATAACTGTATGTCTGAAATTCATACTGGTAAGAATTAGTTGAATGTTTGATCACAGGCGTAGCGAGCTGTCACATTTTATATTTAAGACTGTTAAGATTTCGAAGGTATCCCGAATGAACATTTATGCCTGATTCAATCTTTTTGTTTACTCGGAGAAGTCACTCACCATAATGACCATATATGAAGGCTTAGCTTTCAATGGGAAGCTAGGAAATTTTCAGTAGGTCCCATCTGCCACCATATCTTAATTGGTGGGTGGTTTTAGGAGACCATAGATGCTTTTCCAGGAACTCGAACTGTTGTAATGAGCTGCAGACATGAAAGGAAATTAGAAGGCTAAGAAGTAAAATATTGATAATGCTTAGAAGTTAGGCAAGTTTTGAAGGACTCATGACAGGAATTGAAACCTCTAGGCTGCCAACATTATCGAATGCTACTTTTCCTAAGAAAGTGCATTATTATGGGTTGCCTAATCGAGTTTTGTCTGTGACCGTGGGTTGTTTTTCTACAGGTTACAGTTAGAAAAGGTGAATGAGAATTTGTTTGTTATTCATTTATTTCTGGCTAGTGTTACGTGACAAAATTCACATTTTTTTTGGTGGGTTGTCATAAATCATAAGTCAGTTGCTACTCATCCAAGAGTCTGTTCACTTTTCTCTTAGGAACTGATTTTTGGCAGAGATACTCTAGTTTTAAATACAATAGTTTTTAGGCTGTTTCTCTGAATGTTGGACACTGATATTATGACAAAATCTAATTATTTTCATACCATCTTACCAGATGCTTGTGTATATTTTATGTCATTTGTAGTCAAGCTAAGCCATGAAATATTATGAACTGATTTTATTTAGCAAATATTTACTTTCTCAGTTCTCAGTTTTACTAGCAGAAGATTTTGAAATTAGACCTTCTTCGGACAGAACAATACCTGTACTACTATGGATTTAAGTTCACTGTGGATAAACATTAGCCTGAAATATAAGTAATTCTTGAAAAAAAAAACAGTAACTTTGAAAATGAATCACTTACGCTGGCCAACCTTCACCAGTTGTCACAGTGAAGAGTGTTAATATTGCATGAATTACATTGTCATAATTAAAGTCACGTGTCCTCCAAGTGCGATTTTGAAGGAATGGAACACCACGATCGTTGAAGTCAATGAATTGGCCTCTGAATTTAAATGGTAGAAGTAAAATGCGTTTAAATTTTCTACAGAATATTAGATACTCCTAGTTATACTACTAACAAATACATAAGTAGCATGATAAAAGTTACTGTATGGAAAGAAATCTTAGTTTATGAAATGTATCATCAAGTATTTCAAAAAGAATGGCCAGAAGATATGATATATGGCTTTGTACGGGATAAGCAGAGTGAAGAAATTTTTTCACCTGACCTAGGATATTTAAAGAATTTCTCTTCAGATACTTGGTAATTTCAAGGTATCTTTCATTTTGGTTTGATGTTAGCTAGATAACCATCGGGAGAACGAGACAGGCGTTTATATCACAATTATTCGATGGGTCCTCAGTTGGCATCGCTATAAGATAACGACTGTTTTAAAATCAATCGGTGACCGCATAATTTACTTCTTAAAACTTGGAAACTATTTGCATGAAATTTATGATTCATTGGAAGCAACAAAACAAACCGTTGTTAATTCCAAGATTACTAATCACGTGTTCGTAATTGCATACTAGCTGTTATCAAATAAAATGACAGAATGAATTTCATGTGAGTCACTATTATAAGTGAAAAACATGGATACCGTGGTAGAATTTAATTCCATATTAGATTTGTTTATTTGATCTATAACACGCAGTAATACATTGTTATTTATTTGATGATGACGTTTTCAGCATACGTTATCACTCATTATCATATAAATGTATTCACACTACTTTCAACACCCGATTGTTATAGTCCTGTCACTTCACATTCTTTCTCTCTACTGGTAGAACGATTCCCCATATCTCTGGGATAGGTTGTTACGTCATTCCTATTACATGTGTTGAATTGGGTGTTGATCTGATGAACGGAGATCCAGTAATCAATCTCCCTCAACATCCAATTTTATGAGGGCTCAAGTAGAGTGACTTTATCCCAACCATCCTAGTGTGTGTTTGTGAGTTGATGCATGCATTACAATAGCATAATGTTTTTCCACATCAATGATCCCATTCGGCTCTGTCATTGTATGTTTAGCTCAATTCCCATGTTCCACTATTCTTACTGACGCCAACTGGCTAGTCTGACCTATGTGACTGACCTCGTAGTCATCAGATGGAATTTGATAGATTAGATTATTTTGCCCAATTGAATCCATCGGGTCATTAGGGCAGCCGACAAAGTTTATGTGTGAGTGAGTTTGTAGGTTTGAATGCCCCCTAATCCCAGCTTCGTTGAAGATCCTGTGCGAAGTTTCTGATGTACCTTCCTTATCGAGTGACACAATGGAGGTTGTGAACTCCTTTCTACTTGTGTTGTCGTTATTATTCTTACTCGAGTTACTGTTATCTTTTCGTTTCTTGTGTGTCCGTACGAATTTCTTCATAAACTGTAGGGAATAATTATTAAGTATTAGCACTTCTTCCACGTGCTTCTATTCGTTATTAAGCTCCTTGCACTGACTAGTCAGTTTTCTAGCTCTATCACTTAGACATCTGACTAAGCCTGCCTTGTGTGACATTGAATGAGATGACTTGAAGTCTAGATATGTGTTGTAATGTGTGGGTTTTCTGTGGACAGTAGTATGTCAACCACTATCCTTCCTTGGTTTTATCCTGCAATGCAATGTGGGTAATTCTGTTTGTTCATTTTCTAGTTCAGAAGTGAATAGGATTGTGCCTAAAACTGAGTTTATACGCGTGAGGAAATTGTCGATATGTTCCGATTTCAACACAGTAAATTTGTAGTCATCCACATATCGCCACCACATTTTAGATGGAGGATTAAGCGTTTGTAAAGCCATGTTTTCCAAACTATCCATGAATATATTTGCTACGATTGGAGATATTGGTGATCTTATTGCTACTCCTTCTGTTTGTCTGCATATTGTGTCTTGAAACTTGAAGATCGTGGAGGTCAGGCGTAACTTGATCCCTAATATGATCTTACCAACCTATATCTTAGTCCTGTGAGTAAGGTCTGAGTCACTACTGAGTTTAATTCTGATTACGTCTTGTGCCATGTTGTTTGGTATTTTAGTATAATGACTCTTTACAAGGAAATTAACCATTTTTTCATCCTCTTATATATGTAGGTCATTAAGCCTTAGTTTTAACTCGTAAGAGTTTACTAGTCTGGAGTTTGAATTTTTCCTAATAGGACACAATATCGATGCTAAGTGCTTTGCTAGCTCGTATGTTGGGGTCAAGGAAACACATGTAACAGAAATGACACAACATATATGCCAGCGACATCGAAAATTTAACTACTAATGAAAACAAACATCTGAGGTGACATAACTATAAAGGTCAGATGTAGAAAGTTGTGTGATTATATTGATGTGATTATGAGCAATAGTAATTTATGCTTGAAACGTCATCAAGTAAATAATACTATATCACTGTGTATTATAAATCAAATTAACAAATCTAATATGGAATGAACTTCACGTAAGTCGACTGATCTATGAAAAGTGAACAGTCTGTGTGCAGTAACAGTGGTGAATAATTCAGTTTGTGAATGCAAACCACCTTTACAGTAATGATAGATAGTAATGATAGCAGTGCAATCCAGAATGTGGATTTCATCCTATTTGGGATTCGTCAGCTAGATGTACCTGCCTCCCAATGGGTGATGTTGTTCCCACCGGGATTCGGACTTGGGTGCGACAACTTCAAACGTGAGAGCGTCATCCACTACACCACCGAGCCACGACTACCACTTCTTGCGAGAAGGGTAAGCCACCTTTGTTATTACCAGACATCCCATGTGAAATGATGCTGGGAAATGATATGCAGCAGTCTATTTCTGGTACAGACAGAATAATGCAAGATTTATGTCCACTGAGATGAAATATAAAAACAGAAGTCGATCGAACGTAGTGGGATGACTAGTTTCCTAATGGTTTACAAATTGTCCAGTCCACCTTGAAACTTTGAATATCTGGGTAGTTTTTCAACCCCTTAACTCTGGCGTCAAGAGAGTTTCCTTTAGAAACTACCAGTCAGCCAATAATCATAAAATGTGATCTCTGACACAAAACTGTCAGCTAAGAAGATTCAGGTGATCAATATAATTTGGTTTTGTAGGACCTATATTTGTTACTGTATTGGTGACCAATTTGTGTAGAATTTATATATGCCATGCCAAGCAACAAGTACATCTAAATGTTCCAGTACCAGAGTGTTTGTATCACTAGCCACTTGTCAATCATATCTAGTAAAAATGGTTACACTCGAAGTTCAAATTTTAAACACAGTCTAAGTATTGATAATCTGCAAATTTATTGCTTCATAAGGTCTTAGTACAAAGCGATTTTAAAATTTCTTTCAGTTACAAGGGGCTGTTATAACTGCTAACTGTATTCCTAAAATTCTTTTTGCTCAATTGAAATCACTTCTCAAAATGTTGTTTTGTGTGATTTTTCAATGTTTGTCTGAAACATGCATTTAAAAGTCTATGAATTAGAGTGCATGAACTAGTCGTTTATGGAAGATTACATTTACTGGCTTTTAGCTGGCTTATGAAAGCTGTACAGCGTCTTAAAACCAGGTGAATAGAGATGAAGCTTCATAATGATTGACTATCGTTACTAGTGCAACGTATACTTGGATCAAAAAAAGTAGAAACCTAGTTAAGAACGCAATGCTGACAATCTACTTATATTATCAGGAATATAAAAGCTCGTATACAAAGTACTACTACTACTACTAGTACTTACAAGTAGTATATCTGGTTGGTTTCGTTTATATGCAAGCGCTAAGATGGGATCGAATACACTATTAAGGTAGGGTGGATACATTGATCCTTTCGATAGATTACTTAAGTGAGCTTGGGGTTTGTGTAGATTTTGTGATTTTTCAGTGCTGATTGTTGACTAGCTCCATGAGATGATTCCTGAACTCCCAAAGAGAATTCGTGACCGGTAGGGTACATTTGGTGGCCATGAGGACAAATACGCAACGACGATATTGCGTGATGGTCACACTATATCGTGAACTGACAGGGGTTGGAAATATGGACCACTGGATTCCGATCCAGTGGCTAGCTCAATGGTAACGTGCTGACCATGGAGCCTGAAGAGGCTGGGTTCGACCCCCGCTCATTTAGGTAGTGGATGAACGCCGCTGAGGAGTCCCACACTAGGACGAAACAGCTGTCCAGTGCTCCCAAGTTTCTAATGTTCCTCCAACTGATGTCAGTCAATGATGAATACGGACTTGAAAAGAATTTACTTAATTATTGTAGCACCCGTAGTCACTACAATTCATCAAAAAACAATGAAAACAAACGCTCAGGTAAGAAGCAGCCTGCTAAAAGTATATTGGAATCTATCACTAATGTGAGTATGAACCAAACAAGGAATAACAGTCACGCCAAAGATATAGTATCAATGTCTTGATTATCACGTAAAAAGGAAATTATTCAGTTAAGTGACTACAAGCAACAGCTGGTGTAACACAATGTCAAGTTTCTTATTCTCTATTTTATAGTTTATTTACTGAATAATTTCCAGTGCTGGGGAAGACCGATATTTGAATTTATTTACTATTTTATCCAGTAAGTAATCACCAGTAGCCTCTGAATGTAAATGTAAATTAGGAGCTGCATCATACCTTGGGGAATTATGTTGTTTGACGCTTTCTCCGGTCTATATTGAATGCTTATACAAACGAGGTAGTCCAGGGTTTATAATTTCTTGTAAAAAAAACTACAAATCAGTTTATCGTTAGTAAGTGTAAAGATATTTTCTCGAACACTTTGCAAATAAATTCATTAAGTTGTAGATAATAAAATGTTTTTTTCTTCTGTTTTTTAATCATTCAACACAAAATTCAACATATGAAGGCTTAAATATTAAGACCTCAAAAGATAATCTCTATGCTGAATCGAAATAGCCAACTAAACAATTTTTGTTAAGTTTTCAACATAAATGGTATACCACTTGGAAGTTGAGTGGTTTTATGTAATTTGTTTATCAAAAGATAACGTCAGTTGAAGGTTGATATTCACTAGAAAGTCATTGATAATCTTGAAGTGATTGATAGTAATTTTTTTGTATTTTGAAAGTTCTCACTAAAAAACCTATTTAACTTCAAAATAAAATCCAGTAAAAAGCTTGAGGTCTAAAAAATAGCATATTACGGTTTGTTTTATTTATCAAACTCATATTTTAGTTCTCTAATAACACATGACATCTGCTAGGAAGTCTGTGTGGACCTTACCAATAAATTTGCTGTAATTTGAAATTTCTCAGTAGAGAACCACTACGACCTTAAATGTGATTCAGTAAAATACCAACGGTTTCAAAGTAAGTTTCTTATGGAATCAAAAGTATACCTTCGGCTGAAAGAAGTACTCCTAATCTCAAGAGTGAAATCAAATAGATTTGAGTTCCATTTTTTGAGAAATCCGTTACGTAAGTGCTATTCACTCTACTCCACTACCTCTGATACCTACGAAAGTGAATGAAGTGCACCTAATTTCTGCTTCAGAGTTTTTGTGATGACGCTATAGATTAGACCACTAATATTTCCTGCATTTATTCCCCTTAACTAATCTGACATCGCTGTGTTGCATTCCTTTCTTCTTTTCCATAAAATCTATCTGAAATAAATTACTAGGAAAATAACAGATTTCAAGATAAGTTAAAATTGGAAACTGGATAATCTAGTTATCAACTGAACTCATTGCTGTTTCGCTTACTGGCTTTTCTACACTTGAATTAATCGCCTTGTTTTCTTGAATCATGTTTTTGATCAGTACCTTAAAATCTATCTCGAATTGTCAACTCATACTGTGTTCCATATTTCCGCTTGTGTCTTCCAAGTTGCTTTATGAATGGATCCAGTTTTCAATTTCAAAGTATTCTGAAAGTTACTCGTTCCAGATTTATTTTGAATTAATAGTTTTTATGTGAGTTGGGAGAGGGCTATGAATTGCATTGATTTTATCATATTCTGTAAAATTCTTATAGTGTGGAACAAGATTATCAAAATCTTTTTAAGTAGTCGTAAACCCTTGAAACCATTTTCAACCAATCGTTTTGTTCCAAAGTTTCATATGAAAGCACTTGAACCAACGTGTTGAAGGGAAAAAAGTCAAAGTCTACAAAGATCCTGAATTTCGTTTATATATTTGATGTTATAGTAAATCTCCATTTCTTGAGAAACTGAGCTACTATCAAAGGGTGGAATCTCAGGGTTATTGCCCGAGAGTCCATACTCATATACATATATGTACATAACTTAGGTTATATCAAGCAGTCACTAAAATAATATCATACGTGAGAGGTAGGTTATAAAAAACCGTGGTCTTTGCTCTTCTCTAAATTACTACTCATGAACAGGTAACCTTCCAAACCAAAGCCTTTTTTGACGATGTGTATTCTGCAATTTAACCGGTGGTGACTAGTAATGAAATCCAGGACTTAAATTTCGAGTCTCACTGGGCTCAAGCCAACGAGTACCAAATAGGAAGAAGCGTGTGCACTAGATTTTACTGCTATTTACCACTAAGTAGGTTAATCAATATTCAGGCAATATTAAGGCGTCATCATAGGAACTTATATGCCGACAAAGGTCGATCATTTCACTCGGGTATGATAACGGGAAATTACAAGTATCAACACATAGTGTATTGTATAGGTGACACCGTAGTGCTCTATATACTTTAGTTAGTGTACGGTATAGACTTTCATCAATGATAAAGATTTAAATGTCATTCTTTTCAAATAACTGAGAACTTACTGGCAATCATCTCTTGTCACCTTAGAAACATCATTACAATAGAAGAATTTTCCCTGAAATAACTGTACAGCAATTACAGCAAAGATAAATTGAAAAAGCCAATACACAATTAATATGTTGAAAACATTTTTTAATGAACTGATCACACAGTCAAAGACAGCCTGAAAAATAGAAGTAAAAATACTCAATGAATTCAATGGGTGATTGGTATTTGTTTATTTTTAATTTTATACATATATATATATGTATATACATATATATATATATATATATATATATAATATGTATACCAAACCAACACAACCAACAGCAACAACAATCTCCAATCACCACCAACCGGAGAAACTTATAGGAAATAGCCTATTTCACCTAGGCAGCACCGTTTCAACTACAGGCGACACAAGCACAGACGAGGAAGTCAGAGCAGCCAGGATCGGAAAGACAACAAGACAGGCCTTCCTGCATTTACCTGAAACCAGTGTAGAAATCTTCCTCACTCAGCACAAAGAACAAGATCTGGATTTTCAACAACAATTCAGTCAAGTCAGTGCTTCTATGTGATGGTTGAGAGACTTAGCGCGTTACGAAAGGTATTTCCAACAAACTGTGGACACTCATCAACAGCTGCCTACACTGGCTCGATACTGAAGATGGAGATCAGATGGCCAGAATAATAAGAATAAGCAAGAAGGAATTCTGGCCAGCAACGAACCAACCAAGAACCTATCATTGAACAAATATGCAGAAGGGAGTGGAGATGGATTGGATGGTGCATACACTGAGAAGGCTGACTAGGGGCATCACGTGCCAGGCCGGTTACTCGAGTGGAACGCAGATTGGAAATGACGAGTTGGGCGTCGGTACCGAGGGTGACATGGGGGAGATGGTGTGATGAAGAGATGAGAGATTGTGGGCTGTCGTAGAGCCATGTTGAAAATATTTCAGAGAACAGAGTGTAATGGAGACGTGTTATTGAAGTCCTATTTTCCACTAGGAACCCAAGGGACAAATAATATAATATAATAATAATATATATAATACAATGACCTAAATTTTTTATCATACAGATTTCGAGTAACTATATCGTAAAGTCTGTGCTAAAGGCTTCTTGAAATATAATAGATAAGTTTGGTTCAATATCGAACCATAGATAAGAGTTCTGAGCTGGTTGTATAAAACTTCTATAAGCCAACAAAAGAAATGGACTAGTTTGTATGATATTTTATGAGGAACCACAGGACACTTTATTTACTGACACTAGTTGCATAGTTCAAAATGTGAACTTATCGGATGAAATCAATAAGTCATCAGTACCGACCCCACTGGATGTCTATAATGCATTTCAGCACCTTTAGGAGGGTTAGTTTAAAACATATAATAATTAATATTTTGTTTTACGTTAGGCAATTACACTTTTATTCACTACTTATTGATCATCAATACAAAAACCCCTACAAAAGCTATTCTTTGAGCGATGAAAGTTAATACAGTTAGAATCCATTTGGAAGTTTTTCCAGACTTATTTATTGACTCCAGGTTAGTATTTATCATGGACTGACATCAGACGGAGAACCATTGGGAACCTAAGAGCAATGGACACGAAACTTAAAGCTCCTGAGTTCAATCCCCGGTGGGGTCATGGGTGTGCGCCACTGAGGAGTTCCATACTAGGATGAAACAGCTGTCCAGTACCCCTAGGTTCTTGACGATTCTACAGTTAGTCTCCTTAAAAAGGTTTACGTGACGGAAAAGTCAAAACTAGGGAGACGGTTTGAAGTAAATTCACTGCGTTTCATTTTCTCTGAATCCTCTTCATAATAACTTATACCCAAGTCTTAATGCAATTTAAGAGTGTAGTTTGTCAGTTTAAATCAATTCGACTCAGTTCACTAATGGAACCAGTAGTCAAAACGTTTCCGCACAAATGCACATTTCAAGATGCCCATTAAACTTTCATTTTAAAGAGATTATTTGAGATTACTAAATAATCGGCAACTAAGAGTCTGCAAGCTGTCAGTCAGCTGATGCAATTGAGAAAACGGTGATTGACAACAGCATGAACGAAAAATGGTCACAGTCCAACTTCGAGGTTATGCTTCTAGCCGTTACCTTCAACTTCATTCATCTGTTGATTCATACTTCCAGCAGTACCTACAACGAAAGGATGAAAACAGTCGTCGCAGAAAGAATGTGTTATATTCTTGTCTTGATGGTTTGATTGTTATTTTGGTCTTAACCTCGTTTTTGGTTTCCTATTGGATTCCTTGATTGACAAACTTAGGGAAGTATCTCAAAGCTGGACTCAACTTATATTACTCTTCTGCTTAATATGTACAAATGGATTCTACAGCCACTAGAATCGCACCAGCTGAATCAGAGAGAAGATGAAGTTGAATGGTTAGGCCACACAATGTACATTTATGTTGCATATGACGAGAAATACAGAAAATGTACAAAGCCATCAAAGCCTAGGTGGCGTAATTAGAATATCTGTGAATGAGAGTAAGATAGACATATGTAGGACATTCATAAATTACTGGTTGTTGCACAACAGTATATATACAATTCTCAAAGAACCTATCTCTGAAAGATACTGTGTCACCTAGAAGTGCTCTAGGAATAAGTCTCCTTGACATAATGCATTTAGAAGACTTAGGTATGTAAATCTAAGCGACTAGTAAACTATGTAGCAGTTGACTGAAGCATTCTGAACTAATAGTACTTATCTGAAATATCAAGCCTAGTTTATGTAAAAAAACGTTTTTGGTTCAACTTGCATTAGCATTCTGTGACTTTAGTTATAACTTTACTCATCCGTCTTATTCTTTGCCATGTCAATCTCAAATAATTGTTATGTTATCATTACTTTATATTCTTATTTATTCGATTTTATCATAGTTCGGTTGTAATTGATACAGGTTTGTTATTACATGAATAGATTTGTTCATTTCATGACGATAATCTTGGCGTAAATAGTGTTCATTATTAGGTTATAATACTTTATCGGTAATGAATATAATTTGCTTGATGAATAATTCTGCATATTAGGCTTAATCACATTTTCATATTCTATTCGAGATCGAACAGAAGACCATAAGATCTTTTGAGGAGGATGTTACTATTCAGTCATTAGTTTGGAATCCAATAAATCATATTTTTCTTCATTGTAACTATTTGTGCAATTTTTATCACAGTAACTTTAAAAGTCAGGTAGTCAACCAATATTTGTGCATAGTAAGATACATTAACGATTCAGTAAAATATACATGCTAAAATGGCAGATTTAACATTTATGAACATACTTTTAATTTTGGCACACGATTAATTGTTTTTAGAGGTCTCAGCACACGAAGTACACGTAACGATTTGATAGTATTCAAGTTCTTTGCTGATGTACTTGTTCCAATTCGTCTAGAAAGAAAATATTAAAACGACTGGTAACTCTATTCGGCGCCGGTAGTGAATTACACAGGCATATTTCTTAATTGTTATAAGTGTATAAAAGAAAGGGAAAATATTTGTCTGTCATTAGATTTCATAACTCAGACAACTAAATGATTATTTGTTTTTCATATTCTTTTGATTAAAAATAAATTTTTTGTTATGACATTCGGTTTACTTTAACTTGGCAGGTTTCATGGAAGTTCATGTTTTAAGATAGGATGGAATAAAACTGCAAATATACAAGGTTTTGTTTCATTACTATACCATACTTAACTTGAAAGTGATGACAGGGCCTGATATTTTAAACGAAGTTTGCATCCATATGAATATTTTAAGCTGTCTACTTTTATATGTAGACTGCATTAAGGTGTACCATAAATGTAATTGCTTGCCTATTAGCAATCAGACAATTAGCTATTTTCAGGTAGCATTCATCACGGGCTGATATCATATGGAGAACCTTTGAAAACCTGAGAACTTTTTCATCCTAGCATGGAACTCCTCAGCAGGACGCACCTACTACCTAGCTACGGATCAAACTCAAGATCTTCAGGTTTCACGGCGAATGGGTTAACCATTCAGCCACTGGGTTAGTTTTCAGTGGTTCACAGTTTCCAACTTCTGTCATTTCGCGATATACTGTGACTACCACCGGACGTCTTCAGTTGGTATCCACTTCCCTCCCACCAGGTTGACTCCACAGGTCACGGCTTCTCATTAGAACTTCAGGATATCCATCTGGAAGCATGTCACTAATGAGGTCAATGACCAGACCCATACTAGGATAAAAGAGCTGTTCAGTGCTTGCAGGTTTTCGGTGGTTCTACAACTGATGTCAGTCCATGATAAGTAACACCTCAAATTGAAATCCTTATTGACCTCAAAGTATAAGCCTTTATTTTGCCAACAGTTCGTGTCAGTAGCCAACAAAGTTGAGTTTTAATAGAGTGAGGCGAAGAAGAACAATTTAAGATTTTTGTCTAGCCACCATAACAGAACAGAACAACACCTAGCTGTACTCATTTTCTTCCGTAGTGCAGAGATTTCACAAATATGACTTCTTTGAATGAAAGGAAATACTTAATCTCTCCTACATAGAGACATATAGACATTCAAATCAGAAAACGCAACGCTGAAAAATTCACTTTGTTGTGTGATGCATGGAGTTTCGCAAATGTTTCAGAAAGCAAACAACGTGATTTGGTTCAAAATGTACATAAGCCTTCTAAACGTGAACCACCTTATTTTTGCATAACCATAGACAACAGTGATCTGTGTTTCGATACTTAGTTAATTTATCCCAAAGACCTTTTCCGTCACCCTGCTACTAACAATCACATCTCCCTCACAAAACTCATGAAGTACATCATTCGGCTTGGAAACATAACACTCTTATGATCATGATAAGTTGTCTCATTATCATTTCTAACATTAATGAATTCTTTTTCCAATCTCCTGAACTATAATTACAACTAAATGTTGTTCTAAACAAAGCATTATATGAGACATTCCAGTTCTACTGCCAAGTAGGTGTATTACGCGATTATTCAGCCTTACAATAACACCACTGAAAAGAGTAGCTCTATGCTGAATGACATAATGGGGATTTTAAAACTTCTCTTTTGGTGTAATGATCCCTAATAAACCTCATTACTATAACTGACTGACTGATTGACAAAATTGACGTGGAACCTCGTACAGGAGTGCATCGGCTTAAGTGCCCACATTTCATAGTAGTACACAAATAACAGGTGGATAGAAAAGGAGTGATATTAAAGTAAGTACAGTAGTGCGAGAGAATAAGTAACCTGAAGATAAAGGTTAGTAGGAGTATTGAAACTTTGGAAGACGTCAACGAGTGAACATATTTTGCACAATTGTAACCGACTTCTAGTCATGTCCTCAACAATCCTTAACCAACATTTTGTTTCGTCTCCAGGACTCCAACCAGAGGTCTATATCTCCCAACACGACTCAGACCAACAGTCAGGGACTACATAAGTCGGTGCCAGGTCTTGGTCTAGCCACCCTGAACCTTTTTTCGTCCCAATTCAACTTCCCCTTGTATGGCACGTCGAGGTAGATGCGTTATTATAACATTACGTAAACCATTAGCACGAAAAATGCATCCATTTCACAAAAAAAAGAATAAGGAGTGTAATTTTGTTGTCTTACAAAGATTTTTTTATAGCAAGTACAAGGATTAACTTTTTGCTACGAGATATTGTGTTTTAAACATACGGGAATAAGGCAACTCAATTCATAATTTGTTTGATATGACCTGATTTCACGAGTCCTATGTTGGGCTATGAAGGTCATGTTGGCAATTATGCATAGCATATTTGAATAAATAACTCTGAAAGTCACCCTAGTAACCGCTAAAATAACTGTTTTTGCCTTATTTCGGTTGCAAAAGTTGTTTATTTCACCCGATTAAGAAATATAGGTATTTTCAGGTTGCTAGCATGACCTTTATACTAACTCAGTGACTATATTGTGAGAGTCACCTTAAGGACTACTGAAATAACCAATTAGATTCCTTTTTTTCTCTGCGAAATATAGTTTTTGTAAAAAGTCAGAAGCTTAACTGGTTGTTCCAGTAGTTGCTGAGGTGGCATTTAGTGTCATACATGAGTGAATCCGAAGTATACTTAGGAAACTAATTAAAATAACCGGTTATGTCATTTTATTTTGATAGGGAAGGTAGTTTAACTTAGAAATAGGAAAGCCTGATTGCCTGTTTTGGTAGTTATTAGAGCTGCACTCGTGGTTTATCCATTTCATTAACTTACCCCAGAATTAAGAGAGTACTAAAATCTGTTAACACTCTTTTGTTATCTCGACAGTCACCTAGACTACTCTGTTTATAGTTGCTAACGTATAATTTAAAGTCTCTAAAATTGCTAAAGGCATCTGTTAAAGGTCCAGTCGCCATTATCTTGAAACTGAAAGTAAGTTTCGAAAGTGGTAAGTGAATTTAGTAGTGAATCTAAGTGTATACGGATTCACACTAGAAATATCTTGAAAACAAAATGTTTAACTTAAATGCCATAGGTTTATATTATGAGTAGCCGAAGGGTAACCCCACCGACAACTGAAACAAACAATTAAGCTTCTCAGTCTTGTGAAATCTGCTATCCTGGCCAGAATGAATAAACTCAAGTAGCCATTTTAATCGTTGCTATGGTAGCCTTTAAAGTCACTCTTATATTACGTCTCAAGAATATGTATGTGCCAGTTAATACAATCAAACACACTGGAACTCAACCTTGTAGATTGACAGTTCGTGACCATTTATCTGACCAATTGGCTGTTACTATTTTCCTGTGAAATTAAATTCTCTTAAACGGCACATAAATGTTATTGGTGTAGCTTTTACATTCGCATAAGAATAATGTATTTCAGTATCTATTTATCATAGATATCTATTACAAAATGTTCAGTAGACATTATTGAAGGCTCGTATAACTTTTAATTTCCTGAGTGAAATTTAAAACAGAAATTTGTCATGCTGGTGATGTCCACTTGAAATCGAAGCACAGTTATCTTGATGCGTCCGACTAATCTGTAAGCAGTATCTCTATACTGTCTAATATTTGACCTAAATAGGTTCTTTCTTAGTAAAAAAAATATCTAAATGTTCGTTTGCATTTTATAATCATAAATAAAGTCAAGCTAATTACAGGGTATCCCATATTCGTAAAAGTATCCTTAGTGTAAGTATCATTGATCCATGATGTTACACAGATTCGTCATATGCCTTACCGATCTATCGTAACTAGTCACACTGTTTGCTGACGACAATAAACAGCCTTTATGAGCATTATTTGCTCAAGTGATATTAGACTGAATACTTCATTTATTTATATTGACATGTTCAACTGCTTTACCAATACTACTTTAGTCACAAGATGATTTGCAGTGATTTCATTTCTACAAAGCTGTTACAGTTATAAAGGCTTCGTTAACATAGTTATTCATTGATACACAGAATTCCCAGTAATTGTCACACTGGTTGGATCTTCAAACAATATCAAGATATCCACACAAGCGCCCATAAGGTGACGGAGGCTGATCGGTTTGTTTCAGAACAATAATTAACTCAAAATTACAAGAATCAATAAAAAGAAACTAAAATCCGTAGCATAGTAGGTAACAGTCTGACATATAAAGTGATCGATTCTGAGTTCCTCACAGTACGAACACTATCACTCACTAAGATACAGGTGCATCCAGCAGATGAATTCAAAGTGAGATAAAACGCACCTCCCAGATCCCACTGTTACCCACCACCAAAACCAATGAATATGCTGCGAACTTAAACTTCCCAATTTTTAAACATGTAGTCCTATTCTGTCTTTTATAAGACTTATTTAGGTGTAGAAAACACCGTTTCTTTGCCAACATTTCACAACATAATACTAAGAAAGACATTTTACCAAACTATTAGCATTCATTTCACTGTATTTCAAACGTATTACAATTTACGCTGAATTTATACATTTTGGTTGCATAAAAATACTTCAGTTAGACTTACCCTAAGGAGGTAGCCGATCTAAAAAATCAAAATAAATATATACCAGATAAGTATAAGTAAATGATCCAAAACCATATAAAAAGTAATATTATCTAAATAAAAGTAAGGTTGTCTGCTTTTTAGCCCAGGCAAAAACAAGCCATTAAAGTGTTGAGATTCTTACAAAAACTCACCAGTTCAAAGAGTTGTTTTTCTTACTAACAGTAATGTGATTCATTTTCGTTTAGTGTTATGCTTATTTGTTGATTCGAAAAAAAATGGAAAGTCTCATATTTTACAAGAGTGGGATTATATGAAATTAGCGGAGTCGATGATGATGAGATTCCAAGAAGTAGCCAGTAGACTTCACTTTAAAGATTAAATTTATTGGACTGAAAAGATAACCATCATCAAAATGTGATGCTGCACTTCAAATCTCAGTTTCAATATTCCATAGTAGATTTGACTATTTGATTTATAACACGCAGTAATACGTTGTTATTTATTTGATGATGACGTTTTCAGCATACGTTATCACTCATTATCATATAAATGTATTCACACTACTTTCAACACCCGATTGTTATAGTCCTGTCACTTCACATTCTTTCTCTCTACTGGTAGAACGATTCCTCATATCTCTGGGATGGGTTGTTACGTCATTCCTATTACATGTGTTGGATTGGGTGTTGATCTGATGAACGGAGATCCAGTAATCAATCTCCCTCAACATCCAATTTTATGAGGGCTCAAGTAGAGTGACTTTATCCCAACCATCCTAGTGTGTGTTTGTGAGTTGATGCATGCATTACAATAGCATAATGTTTTTCCACATCAATGATCCCATTCGGCTCTGTCATTGTATGTTTAGCTCAATTCCCATGTTCCACTATTCTTACTGACGCCAACTGGCTAGTCTGACCTATGTGACTGACCTCGTAGTCATCAGATGGAATTTGATAGATTAGATTATTTTGCCCAATTGAATCCATCGGGTCATTAGGGCAGCCGACAAAGTTTATGTGTGAGTGAGTTTGTAGGTTTGAATGCCCCCTAATCCCAGCTTCGTTGAAGATCCTGTGCGAAGTTTCTGATGTACCTTCCTTATCGAGTGACACAATGGAGGTTGTGAACTCCTTTGTACTTGTGTTGTCGTTATCATTCTTACTCGAGTTACTGTTATCTTTTCGTTTCTTGTGTGTCCGTACGAATTTCTTCATAAACTGTAGGGAATAATTATTAAGTATTAGCACTTCTTTCACGTGCTTCTATTCGTTATTAAGCTCCTTGCACTGACTAGTCAGTTTTCTAGCTCTATCGCTTAGACATCTGACTAAGCCTGCCTTAAGTGGCATTGAATGAGATGACTTGAAGTCTAGATATGTGTTGTAATGTGTGGGTTTTCTGTGGACAGTAGTATGTCAACCACTATCCTTCCTTGGTTTTATCCTGCAATGCAATGTAAGTAATTCTGTTTGTTCATTTTCTAGTTCAGAAGTGAATTGGATTGTGCCTAAAACTGAGTTTATATGTGTGTCTCGTTATATTTTAGATACAATGAAACTATATAGATGAACGCCTAGTTTCTCAACTTTTATACCTATCCGAGTAGACGTATTGAAAAAAAAGAATACTGACGTGTTTCATGATAAAAATAAGTTCCACGTTAAGTGTTAGTCTGTAATATGTTTATCATTTTGAAATTGGTCAGAATTTCTAGATTGTTTAGTTTGAAAGTGTATCATAATGGTATTCTCGCTTTTATACAGAGTTTAGTTGTATTACCTAACGAATGTAAGTATGGTAATATTTTCGTGAACTGAGAGGGAATTACAGCCTTGTTTTTCCAGAGATTAGTACTTATACAACCAGTGAAACACTTTTGGTATGCTAGAAATACTTCGTTTCTCACTAAGCCTCTAAACTTACTGTGAAAATATCTTCATTGTGATACATTCTATCTGTCAAACCTAAGCGTTGAGTTCTTACATCACGAACACTACTCACGCTACTACTGAGAGTGCGATTTAACGTTAGGAAGTAATATTTTATATACATTCTGTCAACTTCAGTTTCCATCATCACTTATCAGCTAGGATTGTAAGTAATATGATTTAAAGGTCCTAAGTTAACATTGATAACTGGTTACCAGAATCTCCAAAACACAAAGATATAAAGAAACTATTGATTAAAAACAAAGAGATTATTACAGTCCTTGAGAAGGCGGACACCATCTGGATCATATATGATAAAATCCAAGCAATATGACAGTTAAGGGAATGAAAGTACTAAGCTACAGACAATGGACGTATACTATCTGCAGATATCCAAAATGCAGTGAAAACTACATAGAGGACTGTGCTGGAAAAATAAACAAAATACCAGAAGAAGAAATTGAATCTATAAATTTCTTTTCTTCAAGGGTATCAAGACAGTCAAATCGACTTGATTATTGGGGCTAGTTTTGAATAAAACATTGAACAGACGCGTACAGTACTGAGACACTGTAAGGATATTGAGGCTTTCCACTTTAACTCCTCTGAGAAAGAAGGATAAATTATTAATTCCTGTTAAAGATAATTAGTGGGTCATTGTTAATTCTGCATACTTACACTAAAGTAGAAATTCCGCATAAGAAAAGGTTAGTGTGATTGAATAGTAAAGTCATATTTCTGAAACTGCTTAGGCAAGAAAATAAGGATGCCTTCCTTTTGAAATCAAGTCGCTTATAATAATACTGAGTATATCTGAAATTATCGCTAGATTTTTCACACAAAAACACAAAGAAATCGGAAGTATTAGTGTTCGATGCATGATTCAACTTATTATTATTATTAGTCCCTTGGGTTCCTAGTGGAACATAGGTCTTCAGTAGCACGTCTCCAGTAAACTCTGTTCTCTGAAATCTTTTGAACCTGGCTCCACGACAGCCCACAAGCTCTCATTTCCTTCTCACACCATCTCCTCCATGTCACCCTCACCTCGGACGCCCAACTCATCGCTTCCCATGGGGATCCCACTCGAGTAACTGGCCTGACGCGTGATGTCCCCAGTCGGCCTTCTCAGTGTATGCCCAATCCATCTCCACTTCCTTCTGCATATTTGTTGAGCGATAGCTTCTTGGTTGGTTCGTTCCCAGAGCTCCTTGTTGCTTATTCTTTCTGGCCATCTGATCTGCAGTAGCGAGCCAGAGTAGGGGGAAGTTGTTGATGAATGTGTGTAGTTTATTGGAAATCCCTTTCGTGACGCGCCAAGTCTCTGAACCATACAGAAGCACTGACTGGACTGATGTTGGTGTTGAAAATCCGTATCTTGTTCCGCATGCTGAGTGCAGAAGATCTCCACACTGGTTTCAGGCTAATGAACGCCTGTCTTGCTTTTCCGATTCTCACTTTGACGTCCTCGTCTGTGCCTGTGCCACCTGTAGTTGAAACAGTGCTTCCCAGATAAGTGAAGGAGGTTACTTCCTTTAAGTTTCTCCCGTTGACGGTGATTGGAGTTTGTTGTTGTTGTTGATGGTGGTGGTGCGGTATCTTCATCACCTCTGTCTTCTCTATATTCACTCGAAGTCCTGTCTTCGCTGCCTCTTCTATCAACCTGTTGGTTTTTGCCTGCAGATCTTCAAGTTTATGTGACATCAGGCACAAGTCATCGGCGAAATCCAAGTCTTCTAGGTTCTTATGATTCAACTTGATTACAGTTAAAAGCATTATACTTGCACAATACACTGAGTAAGAATGTTGAGTCTGTTTAAATGAGTATATCTTCCTGCATTCATCATTACAAAAAACAGTCGGCACAAGGATAACTTTCTTGGCTCACTGATGAACTTCATAAAATAAACACCCTCAGTTTATCACCTTCTAAATCATTATCTTATTTTTCACTTATTCATTTACTGAGAATAAGGAACGGTTTTAGTAGCTTGACAATTAGTATATCCACTATGTCCTCATAGTACTAAGAATGATGATCAACAAGATCTCATAAGTAATGAACTTCAATGTGAACAAAACTCAAATGAAACGTCATTTGTTACTGACGTATAGAATTACAACTTTGGAACTAAACTCACAGTTATGGCGAGTCAACATCTTAAGCGGCTGTACAGACCACCCCGTGAGTTAATTCGAATGCAGTCAGTTTTTATGCTATGAAAGATATTTTGAATTCATAAATTAAATGATTGACATTACTCTACCTAGAAAGTTGGTTTCACTTTTAGGAACTCACACACATATGTTTTATGCTTAAAGTGGATGACGTTTACACTTACACCGTGGATATACAAGACAAGGTATAATGATGATTTCTTTGCTGAATGATTTTCTAAGCTTTTTTCCTAAGATATGGAAATATTCCGCTTTTTAAATAATCGTATGAACTGCTTTTTATTTCAGTTTATCACCATATTACTTGTATTTATCTGATTAGGTGGTTAAGTAATATTAGATGTATTACGCGTAGACTATGAACCGGAAGTTAATTTTAATCTACTGGCAAAAAATTCAAGCATGTTTTGTTTTAGATAAACAAATAATCGAATAAGAACAGGAAATATTTCATTCAATAACTAATCCTTGCTTTGAGAAGAATATGGTTTCTATTCTGAATACAATAAATAGCAAAATTAAATCTTATGTGGTCACCGGGTCATTAAGATATGTACATATATATATATATATATATATATATATATATATATATATGGCAGACTTACCTGACTACAAATGCTACTAAGGCGAAAAATACTACAATTGCATCTAGAATATTCCATGTATCACGAAAATATGAACCAGGATGAAGAACAACGCCTAAATCGATGACCTGTAAATAGTAGAGTTGAAAAAAATTCTTTTAAATAGGTCAAAGAATATATTTCATTAACTTATTCATATTTTCTAATATTTTTAGTACTGACCAATCGTATGTTTTCATACCTGAAGTTTTTGATATCAATCGGGATATCATCTCCAATATTCACTTACAAATAAGTTAATCAGTGTGGTGTTTTTCGTCTATATTAGTATTATGTTCAATCAGATTTAAACTGTTACTAATTCTTCATTAAACGGTTTTACTAGTATTACATTACAATAAAAAAAAGCATCTATAAATTTATGTTTTTAATTTTATGTACAAGTAAATAAACGTATAAGTTTTGTTAGTCAACGTTGTTAAAATACATTTTCTGAAAAAGAAATCTTCTGATTAATTTAATAGAAACATAGTAAGCCTGCTCTTTAAAAAATCTGAAAAAAATTATGAGTGCCTAGCAACAGAGGTTACAATAGGCTGAACAGGTCAAGCATTATTTATCACTACTGAACATCATTGTGATGTAATATACAGTGAAGTAAACCATGTCTTCAGTATTACATATCTTTTTAGCCAAATAATTTAACTAATTCCTCAATGGTCTCTTTTTCATCTTCTAAATGGTAGTTTAAACTAACTACACGAATGATTGTAATGCATCATATCTTGGGAATAATGACTACGTCACTTAAAATCTTCATTTTCCACAAAGATTTTACGATTCACTACAGGTAACTTTCTTAGAAAGTAGGAATAAGATGAGGTTACGAATTTCTAGCAGGTGTTTGATGAATGTCTATTTAAATAGCAAGAGAAAGTTAGTAAATACGAATATGGAGGTGATTTAATTAAAAAAATAAGGTGTTGAGTCTTTCGGTAATTTCTCAGGCCGTTCAACACAAAAACAATCTTGACAAACTTGCATAAAAAAAGACAGAGGTAGTGAAGACACCCAACCAACAACAACATCAACAACAAGCACCAATCACCATCAACAGGAGAAACCTAAACGAATTTGTCTCTTTCACCTACCTGTCTAGGCAATATCGTTTCAACTACAGACGGCACAGGCACAGATGACGATGTCAAAGCAGCCAGGATTAAAAAGACAGCAACACAGGTCTTCACTAACCTAAAATCATCATTGTGGAGGTCTACTGCACCGCACTGCACTGCACTCAGCATAAAGCGTGAACAACATCCGGATTTTCAACACCAATTCAGTCAAGTCACTGCTGTTATATGGTTCGGGAACTTGGCGTGTCACAAAAAGCACTTCCAACAAACTACACACATACATCAAATCAACAGCTGCCTACGCTGGCTCGATACTGAAGATGGAGATCAGGTGGCCAGAATAATAAGAATAAGCAAGAAGGAACTCTGACTGGCTGTCAGCTAACCAACCAAGAACCCACCACCAAGTAATTATGCAGAAGAAAGGGGAGATGGATTGGGGATACACTGGGAAGACTATTAGGGGAGATCACGTGCCAGGCCAGGCCCTCAAGTAGAACCCAAATGGGAAAAGACGAATTGGGCTTCCGAGGTGAGGGTGACATGGGGGAGATGATGTGAGGAGGAAATGAAAGCTTGTTGGCAGACATGGACCAAGATTAAAAAGGCTACAGAGAAGAGAGTACAATGGAGGCGTGCTACTGAAGCTCTATGTTCCACTAGGAACTCAAGGGACAAATAATAATACTACATAAATAAATCTCCACTCGTTATTCTGGTATTTGTATTTTCCAGTCAGTGTAAAACAAAATAAATTCCTTTCAACTGACGTTTCTCAATTTTATGATGCCAAATACTTCATCAAAGTTATAGTAAAATGGAATTTTCAATATCCCGGCTGATATATGATACGGTGACAAGTGTTTTTCTACATGAATGATTTTGCATTATCAGAATTGTAGAAATAAGATGATATGCAAATGTAGTGTGTTGTGTGTGAAGTGTATGAATTACGGAATGGGATTTGTATGTACATACATGTGTTGATCATAGACTGGGTAGATCGTAGAATCTTTAAGATATATATGACTCAGGTTTCAGTATGAACTAAATTGAGCTGCTGATTTTGGGTTGAAGTTCTTGAAGTAGTTTATTCGTGTTCACCTACATTTTATTCAGTTCAGTGGATCTTTTCTTTTCATCAATAAAGTGAATGGTCCCTCAGATAAGTGTCCACTTGCTTTCTCATAATCTCTTTTGATCCTAACGACTGTTACAAAATCCTTTGTCTGCTTTTGTTATTATAATATTCTTGTCTTTCTTCAAAATTTTCAGGGCTTGAAATTATTCTTACGTAATGTTCAAAGGTAAATCAGAGTATATTTCCTTGCGTTGAGAGAATGTGTGAAATTTTATGATATGCAATCTGCTCTTCGTCGTTAAGTAGGAATTCCAAAACCGGTTCAATGATTGGTGCTATCTCATGAGTCAATAATAACTTTCGGTTGACGTTGGAATTGAGAAAATTATATAATAATGAAATCTCATTTTAACTTAGAATCCCATCTGATATGTTGTATACTGAATTAAGAGTTATCGTATCAAGTTTTAGTGTCTTTTTTCTGTATATTTTTGCTCTGTTGATTTGGGAAACTTCTGGATTCGCCTTCTTTTGGCATCATTGTAAAAATGTGATTCCCGTTTTTGGAACAGTTTATGAATCGATTCAAGTATATCAGGTGTAATCAGATTTGACAAACATTCATCAATACTTCTAATCCGTATCAGATAACATTTAAGCTTTACATTGCTATTATGTATTTTTTTACTTAGAGATGTCCTGGAGGTATGTTGTGCTTGAGAATTTTTTTAGAGACTTAAGATGTAGGGATTGGGGAATAATTCCACTATATAAACAGAGTAAATTGAAGATCCCACGGTTACAGAAGTTACATTTGTGCATTGATAAAGTAATCCGGTTTTTAATCATTTCGTAGATATCCAAAGTATGTTAGGATTTGATGGTTTGAAAGAACTCGGGCAGAGAGTGAATTATATTCATTATTTCTGTCTTCGGATTTCCCAATCAATATAAAACAAAATAAATTCCTTTTAACTGACGTTTCCCTATTTATTACTACCAAATGCTTTATCAAAGTTATAGTGAACCGGAATTTACAATACTCAGGCTTATATAAGATTTGTGTGTAAATGAGTATGTGAATTACAGATTGATATTTATATGACCACATGTATTCATGGTTCTTATCTCAATCTTTAATTCATACACTTCACATACAACACACTACATTTGCATATCATCTTATTTCTACAATTCTGACAATACAAAACCATTCATGCAGAAGAACACTTGTCACCGTATCATATATCAGCCTGGATATTGAAAATTCCATTTTACTATAACTTTGATGAAGTATTTGGCATCATAAAATTGAGAAACGTCAGATGAAAGGAATTTGCTTTGTTTTACATTTACTCATAGCCTAAACTCTTTCAAATTTCCTCTCACTTATCAGACGACTACAATTTTGTTGAAATTCCTTCTAGAAACAACTTTATCTGAAAAACCGCTTCTTAAGTTTCATATCTGGTTTTAACTGTTGACTCAGTGAAACATAGAATGATGTGAAAGCATGAAACGGTAGATGAGGCATGGTAAATGTGACCAATGTGAACGTTATTTTAAGAATGCAGTATCAAAGTTTGAAAGAGATAATTTGTTTCATAAAGTATTGAAATGAAATGCTGGTGTTCTTCGTAATCGTATACAAACACGTTTGAACCAGCTCAGTTACTTAAAACAAACTACCTCCGAATGTACCATCATTTAGTTTTTCTTTTAGTTCACCAGTTTATTAGTTAGTTCCTCAACTGTAACTGATTCGTGTTACCATCCAACGCCAATCCAGATAACCATTCTAGTTCAGCAAAATAAACTCTTTCTTAACTATAAATCTTGAAGTAATCCATACAACAAATGTAGAAAGCTCATTTTCTTCTCATGAACATCTTATTCCCTTAATTTCAAGTGAAATGTGAAAATGTGCACCAAATGATTGGTTAACTCACTTTTAAAATCAATTCAATTGTAAATACACCAGTGAATGCATAGTCAAAATGCTCAAGTATTGTATTCCTTTTTGATTGTTCAGATATAGGATCTTCAGCCGCAAGTGCAATACTACTGGCACAGATTACTATCATAATAAATAGATCAAAGTAGCGTAGATTGACTACAAAATGACAAAATCGTCTTATTCTGTAGATGAAAAGAAAGAAATTAAAAAGGTTTTATTAAAACCAGGAAGAAAATGAGGTATAATTACAGTCTGGTTTATTAAAACTAGACAATATCCCATACCAGGTAAACAAAATAGTTCTTCCTTTCAGAATATGAGATTAGGTACTCTTTACATCATAAACATAATGCAAAAGGTAACAGCTTCAATCAGCATTTACTGTAAGAAGTTTAAGGAGCAAACAAAGGACGTTTATCTTTCTCATCAAGTTATTTATCAGTCCAAGTACATTTAAAAGACAGTAAAAATGATTCTACTAAAGTAATTTATCCCCGATCCCCAGAAACTTTGATTGATAGTAATGAGAAAAGAAGTAACTTTAGGAAATAATTAGTTTTTATTGAAGTCATTCAAAATCTCTCGCTGTAGATTTAATGGTAAGCTGTTAGTAAATATAATTTCCCTTAGAGACTGAGTTCTTCATCTATCCAAATTGCTGTGTACTTGAAAATAAAATGGGTCTTATGATGTTGTTTCCAGTTCAGTCCTTTAACACTTAAAATAACACTATTATGTGATTGAATTGGATGTTCCTATCGACAGGCTTAAATCTAAACCAGAAGTAGAAATAACATTCTGAGCACTAAATTATCACTTTCCTATGCAACAGTACTGAAATGATATCTCGTTCAATAAACACTAGACTGAGACAACGAATTATGTATTCGCTCACGACAATATTAGTTAGTTACTGTCTAGCTCCACTCAGATCCTGGGAACTTTAAAACTTCAACATTGTGAATACCAAAAAAGAGAAACTATTGTCAAGCTAAGTTATACGCTCATTTGAATGACTTCTAATGAAGTAATCAGTCATTTATAAACAAAATGTATAATTGCGCTAACACCACTATAAACTATTTACAAGACAATTGATGGTCAGTCAAGCTAAGTAGAAACATAACTCGGCAGTCAAGGAAATCTAACCGATGAGTATACACCGATACTGTAACTCATTCCTATATGAATCCTTCCCAGTCTTATTAAGACAGCTGAACCAGCTATTATATGAGTTGTGATGGTAGAATTATGTATCCGAATGTGTCCCTTCATATCCTTACACACCATTTAGAAAAAGAAACTATAAACATATGAACGGTTGTTTCATCACTAATTATCCAACTTCCTTTTTCAAGAACCCCATAATCTACAAGATTTTCAGTAGTAGCCATTACATAGAACACGTTAATAAGTGAAAATGTTTTAAAAAGCTAATTTGAATTGCTTACGCATTAGTTGGTGCGAAAATAAACATTGAACTGTATGGTAGAACAGGTTTTCCGTGAATTTGTGAACTTTGTAGTTTGGCTGTATCATCACTTTCGATCGATGTAAAGTTTAGGTTCCCCACTGTAAAGATATTTGAAAATACACAGATTAAATGAAAACTTAGTAAGTTGAACACTTTCATTGTCTCAGAAAAAAATATTTATTATCATAGATAAACTGCTAGCTATGCACCAAATTCGAACCGATAAAAGAAACCTTGGATATTATAAGTAGGGTGTTTCATATGCAAAGCACTGGACTTAACAATGAATATTTTCCCACTGTTTGTTTTATCACACAGTGAGCTGGTTTTAGACATCACCCTTGATCGTGATTCATTGGTGAAATTTAGAAGTATGCGCCGTTTTTTGTATCAGTCTGCATGTATGGTCTTAGGCAATCACACATAAAATTCATAGTCTTTTAAGAGCACTACCAATGATTCTCCAAGGAGTCTTTAATGCTTATAAACTCTACATGTAAGGTGCTTCGAAGACAGATTTTTGTTGCTGGTATAAATAGTGGCAGAATTCTGTGTTTTGACTATGGAATATTCAGTATTGTCTCGATGGAGAACACATACTTACCACAAGTACTGGATTACAACTGTGCTACACTATGGGCTAAAACTGAATCATTAGGGTGTGGCTAACTAGTCGACTAACAATGTACTCATTTTAAGACACGATTATCTCAAGTTTCCTTCTGTTTGATTGCATGAGAGCGTATGCACTTAAGAGTATCAAAGTGGCATTAGTTCAGTCTTCCCTTGTTTTAAATTGTCTCCTAGACTATATCAATTACTTTTCAAAGAGTAACTTGAAATCAGTTTGAAAATATGTTTTTGCTTGCAAGCTGCTTGGAAGATATTTACCACAGATATTTTCAAAAATTTGATTTTAATAATATCAAGCAGAAACAGGAACAATATATCTATTCTTTGGATGCGTGTTTTCTTAATTCCTGTGTACGTGTAGACCTTATGAGATGTGTAACAAAATTTTACTCTCATGAAATTCTGATGTTTTCTAACTGTACAATCTTAATTGATATATGAGATAAAGCATCTCCATATCGGCTGGAAAAAGATGCATTTGTAGGGAAATATTTTTCATCATCGGAAGTGAATACTTATAGCCCATGACTACATCAAATCTGTTCTATACAAAATTCTGTCAAAATTAATAATTACTTTATGAAATCTTTTCGGTATCTACTGTGTTATTCAAAACTCGTTTACTTTATACACCCATTAAGTGTATTCTGAAAGAATACATTTCCGGAGTTGCATATTTTAATTCAGTCTAGCGTTGAATTTCAAATATGCCTGTGTTAATTCTTATTTTCAATGAACAAATGATGTAGTTACTGTTTAATTCTACGGTTGTATGTAATTACTCAACCTCGCCTGGTTAACTAATTCGAAAAGCTCGAGAATCTACCAATACCTGCACTTCGTCCAGAAATACCACCTGCAGCCACAGAACTACAAGTGAACACAAACCCTCCGACGAAAGTCGAAGTCCTGAATGCCATAAAACTGCTGAAATTTGGGAAAGCAGCAGGACCAGACGGAATTCCACCAGAAGCACTGAAAATAGACGCAGAGACAACAGCGGAAATGCTCACGCGACTACTGCAGAAGGTTTGGAAGGAAGGAAGGGGAGATACCTGTCGGCTGGTTGAAAAAAAAGGCTACCCTGTCAAACTTCCGAAGAAGGGAGACCTCAGTGTTTGCAAGAACTGGCACGGAATCATGCTCCTGTCCACCCGGAGCAAACAAAATATTAGGCCACATCATCCTGGTGAGACCAAAGGACGTACTAGATTCAAAACTGCGACCGGAACAGGTAGGCTTCAGGAAGTACAAACCATGTGCGGACCAAACTGCAACGCCACACCACACATCATCATAGAACAGAGAATAGAATGATAGTCAACTCAACCTCAACTTTATCGACTTTGAAAAAACCTTCGACAGCGTCTACTGAGAAGCAATTTTGCAGGCAGCTGCTTCCACACTACTGTTTTAGTTCCACAAATCTTTATCAACCTCATTCAACAGCTACATGAAGACGCCACATGCCAAGTAATTCACACTGGGGAGTTCATTGGTGCTTTTGAGGTGAATACAGGAGTAAGACAAGACTGTCTACTATCACTCATGATATTTCTGATTGTTGTGGACTGGATCGTGCAGCAAACTGTGGGGAGAGAGAAGAGGGGGATACGCTGGACCGGGAGAAAGATCTTAGAAGATTTGGATTTCGCCGATGACTTGTGTCTGATGTCACACAAACTTGAAGACCTACAGGCAAAATTCAATAAGTTGGCAGAAAAGGCGAGGCAGCGAAGACGGGAGGGACGTCAAGTGAATGTGGAGAAGATAGAGGTGATAATGATACTCAACCAACACCACCACCAACAACAACAAGCTCCAATGACCGTCAACGGGAGAAACTTAAAGGAAGTAGTCTCTTTCGCTTACCTAGGCATGGCAGCATTGTTTCAACTACAGGCGACACAAGCACAGATGAGGATGTCAAAGCCAGGATCGGAAAGACAGCAAGACAGGCTTTCATCAGTCCAAAATCAGTGTGGAGATCTTCCTCACTCAAAACAAAGAACAAGATCCGGATTTTCAACAACAATTCAGTCAAGTCAGTGCTTCTATGTGATGGTTGAGAGACTTGGTGCGTTACAAAAGGCATTTCCAACAAACTGTAGACACTCATCAACAGTTGCCTACACTGGCTGAATACTGAAGATGGATATCAGAAGGCCAGAACAATAAGAATAAGCAAGAAGGAATTCTGGCTAGCAACGAAGCAACCAAGAACCTATCGGTCAACAGATATGCAGGAGAAAGTGGAGATGGATTGGATGGTGCATACACTGAGAATGCTGACTGGGGACATCACGTGCCAGGCCGGTTACTCGAGTGGAACGCAGATTGGAAATGACGAGTTGGGCGTCGGTGCCGAGGGTGACATGGGGGAGATGGTGTGATGAAGAGATGAGAGATTGTGGGCTGTCGTGGAGCCATGTTGAAAATATTTCAGAGAACAGAGTGTAATGGAGACGTGTTATTGAAGTCCTATTTTCCACTAGGAACCCAAGGGATGAATAATATAATAATAATTTAACTACTCAGTGTTGAGGGAAAGTATTCATTTTCTTCTTTTATCAAGTAACATATTCTTCTAAAGATTTTATCAGGGCCAATTAAGAAATAACTGTCTGTTTGATTCCATCGGTATGTACAAGGAACAAGGTTTTATAATGTAACTTTGGACTACTGTAATTTCTTTTACTTGCAACTTCAGATTTCAGCTAAAGCGATAATGTATTTAGTTTGTTATGCATGAAAAACTTTTGAATACAAAGATTTCTTCAGAGTCCGGAAGATGTTTGATTGATTACTTTGTTGGTTTAGTGCAGTTTAATTCAAAGATATTGTAGACATATGAAGAAACTGTATCTGTAAAACTGAAATACATGACTGGTTACTCTACTGGAAAGAAACACTAACAGATCTTGAGGTAGGAATAGAATACAAATGACAAGTCATGAAAAATAGATTAAACAAAATATTGTAGCGTTATTTTATTGACATGCACTAATTGTGTAACATCGGAAACTTGGATAGTTTGGTCAGTGCTAAGCAGTGAAGGACAAATGTCTACTTCGGTTATGAACTAATGACAAACTGATGTTAATCCCGCAGTTTGACATAGGGTCAGATGTGGCATGAGTAGATTATTGGTAAAGTCTCTAGGTCCAATACTGAGGGATACAGATACATGGCTTCTTATCAACTAACTCCTTACATTTACCAATGTAATAAATGTTGTTTCAAGAATAGTCTCAAACAAAAAATATTACAAATTATGAACTTGTTTTTCGGTGAAATATTGTTGTTTTCGCTTTGTTCAACTTTGTCAAAATAAAGAAATTTGGGTAATCTTATACTGAATCACTTTCGGCTTGTCATCTACAGTAATTTTTCAGACAGTAATTTTCATTTACATGAACTACAATTAAGATTTAATCGGAAAGTTTAAAAAATATTGAATGAAACATTGAAGTTAAAAGTTGATGCTCTTTTTGTATTGACATTTTAATCGGGTTTATCCCAGTTGAAATGTTTGAACAAGACTAAGAATTAAGATACAGAAATTAATTTATTATAAGCATGTTGAGACCTATACCTTTCCGGGGTATATCTGAAACACCCTTCAGTTTAATGTAAGGATCAAATATTTATGTATAGATTTCCTTTGAAGGTTTATTAAGCTTAAAAGTTAAATAGGATTTGATATCTCCCTATACAATGAGTAATTACTCAGTTGTATTTTAGATAGGTGAGTTTCATAAATATGTGCAGCATGCAGTCAAGTAAAACGTTCAGTGATTTATTCATAAAATACTCTATACTATAAGTGTATGCAATATATTCGCTAGTCACTGATGTTCGAGATAACTTTTAAACAAAGAAGTACCTGAATGAGTTGTTTGTGAAGAAGAGACCGATTTTAAAGGCTTTTTTCACTCTAGATTGATATAAGTTATGAAAACACCATTAAAGTGGGATCACTTGTCAACTGCTTGATTTAACTTAAAGAAGTGCACACTCATGATCTGGCACAGAATTTAGTTTAAGATTGTCAAGTCATGCGAATTAAATGGTTTACTTCAGCTACTGGAGTAAAAGTAAACGGCTAACATTTTCGTACTCCATAGAGCTCTAAAAATTGATGTTATCATCTTTGATTGTCACTGATGAGTAACTATCACTGCCATCAACTTGTTGACCTTACAAGTTACAATTTCCTATTTACTAGGTAGATATTGGAAAAGGATGGCTGATACGAAGGTGGTTTTCATTATGAAATGGAACCATTTAAAAAACTAAGGAAAATCAAGAAGCGTTTAGCAATCTTTTGCTTGAAAAACTTCCTATCTTGTTCACTTTAGTTAAGAGTGTTCAAATTCAATTTTAACAGTTTTGCTTTTATAATCATAAACAAACACCAGACAGAATTTTAGAAACATTACATTTATGAAAATCTGTTGATATCATAGTAGAGCAGCAAGCAAATCACAAATCTAATTTGGCACTCAGCCTAGGCAGATAAGTGATGATCGTTTCAAAAATTGCTATAATACACATTGTCCAGCGAAGTGTTTCGTCTCGATTTGAGGTTTACCAGGTAAATTATCAGAAAGCAATTGACCTTGTCTTTGTGCCTATTGAAACTCATCAGGGTCATTTTTTTGTGATTTAGAAGTTATTACTATTAATGAGATACACTGGTTACGACTTTATCTTTCACACGATAACTAGTTGTTAGTTGCTAACTCTTTAGGATTACTAACATGGTTATCTTGCTTCTTAGTACCTATAACCGAAGCAGGATTTACAGATGTTAAACGACACTAAAAACTACACTGTTCACCGTAAAGACACTGAATAGCGTGAAATATTCATCACCATACTGTTATATACTATATTTGTATTTGCCGGTCAACTGACTGACAGTTTTTCCCTCTAAAACTCATAAAACTTTGGGTTGAACCTTCGTGAACATTTGTTACGTTGGTTGATGCTAGGGTTGGCAGAATTAGGTGATACTGATTTAGTGGAATAGCTCAAATATTTTGGCATAGTAAAACCTCAATCATGAATAATGATTTTTACCAATTTGTAATAACTGGAACTTAAATTCGTACCAATTCCGTTTTGAAGATAGCTTCATTGAGCAGTTTTCATCAGTTTTAAAGGCTGGAGCTATCTAAGTATTCTAATAAATCATGTTCTGTTAAATGGACTTTATAAACATAGCAACCAAGTTATTTCTCACTACTGTTTCTTATTTTCGCATCAATCTTTTTTACTAGTAATTAGTACCGCGTAGATAGTTTCCTAATAAGTATCGTATATCATCGTCACAAATGATAATATACATAATTTTAATTAGGTAAAGAAACAAACGTTCCCCTTTCAAGACAAGTAAAAATAACTTACTATGGGTAAACATGAAATTATCCATTTGTGCACCGGTTCTGTTTTGATTCATTCCAGTCAAATTATCTGGTTTTGCACTAAAAAATTTAAAGATATAAAAAACATGATGACATTCTTAAGTTGGTGTCCATCATGAACTGAGACAGTTGGAGGAACATTGAAAACTTGAGAGCACTAGACAGCTGTTTCGTTCTAGTATGGTACTCCTCAGTAGTGCGCAATCATTACCCCACCCCACCAGGGATCGAATCCAGAGCCTTCTGGCTCCGTGACCAGCACGTTACCATTGAAATAGCCACTGGACCATAATCCAAGGGTCCGTACTTCCTATTTCTGTCAGTTCAAGACATAGCGTGACCATCACCCAATATCATTGTTGAATGCTTATCCTTGAATTAATCTAGTGCTCACTGGTGACTAACTTCGAGAAGTAATTTCCGAATTTTCAGTGACAAGTTGCCACCGGTTGGGTACACTTGGTGGCCATGAGGACAAATAATCAACAATGACATCGGCTAGTGGTCGCGCTATGTCATGAACTGGTAGAAGTTGGAAATATAGACCATTAGATCTCTACCCAGTGACTCAAAGGTAACTTACTGACTACGGAACCCGAAGGTCTTGTGTTCGATCCCTGGTAGGGTGGGGTCACGGGTTTGCACTGTTGAGGAGTCTCATGCTACGACGGAATAGCTGTTCAGTGCTCCTATGTTTCCACTGTTCCTGCAACTGGTGTCAGTATATGATGGATAAAAATTCGAAAAATCACTAAATCTCCGCTAACCCTCAAGTCTATATATTCTTAAAAATATAGGTCTGTTGCTAAATACGTTATTGATACTGAATGCTGAGTGAAATGAAAAACTGGGTTGTGAGTAAATTCCAACCAGCAGCCTCTGATTTTCCAGTCCAGTATTCTATCAAATGAGACACGATACCCAGTTGATAATCATTACTTAGCTTCACTTCAAGCAGTGAGGCTTTTGTCATATAAATCCATGATATGCAACGATCTGTTCGTTGTAACCACACTGGTTGTCATTCGACCCCTAACTGAACTGAATTAGAGAGAAATAGCATCCTGTTAATTATTAATTTCTAAGGTTCACCAGATTACTGTATCAACTCAAAGATGAGCACTGTAATATTTTCAAGAACCATACGTTTATTTGTCTAAGTTGCTCACAGAATACTGCAAATAGTAAAGAAAAGGAAATTAGCCAGACAGATGTCAGATATTAGTTTACGCTTTTAGTTAGAAAGCGTTTCATATGGTGATCAATATGCCCACATTTAAGATTAGATTGAATAAAGTTAAATGTCTTTTTTAGTCCATAACCCAGGCACTAGTTAATACAGTTATCCTCAAGATTTATACTTCACCGGACAGAGATATCCATGAATTCTTCAGTTAGATTTAAACCAGTTGTGTTTTGAAACTTGAATTTTAAAAGATGTATTTTCTCCGTTTAAAGTATCAGAAACAAGGAACTTGAATGTACTTATGTGAAGACTAGAGACTCACAAATATGCATTTATTTATCACTTGATCATAGACAGCATAAGATGGAACTTATACTCTCCACCAAGTACCAAATGTGTGAAAAATTTGTGGACTTTATTTTCAAACAACAACGGCATATTTTAGCAGCAGTTATAGTATTCGTTGTAAAGAGTTTGTATGGAAATATTTTAAATAAGGACTACATGTGTCACACATTATAGCACTGATCTACTAAGTGAATATCATACTATCATAACATACCATTCATAAAATAGAAGGTTGCAATGACTCGAGAACAATCCCTTATCAGCAAAACAATTTCACTCTGAAACATTCACTATCAATTCTCCTTAGACGCGTTTACATACAAGTTGTGGTATAAAACTAATGGTAGTGCTGTAAATTTCAGTAATTAATGAACTTCCTAAACTATTCCAGTCAATAATTAGAATATTAAGCCATAGCTGAGTCAAGATCACATTAGCTGTGTTAATTGATTTCAAGAATCTAGCAACAGATGGAGTTTGTAGACTGACAGTGAAATATTACATGAATGTCAGGGATTCTCAGGAGATAAACAATGACACAACAGAAGATGATAACTTATGTCCTGTACGCTATCCGGTTAATAATACCTTTTGATCATGTGGCATGTTTAGTAATCTGAGTAAAGTCAAACTGCATTCTATTACAGTTGTAATCTTATATTTATCAAACAATATCCAAGTGTTAAGTCATATCCAAGTCAGCCAGGTTAATGATCACATAGTGAGATGATCAGGAGAATTCGATTAGTTCATATCATTGAATAACATACCAACATGAAGTTGGTTACATGTTTATGGTAGTTCAATCTAAAAGTCACTGCATTTTATTCACTTTTGTAAACATGCAGTGTGTCCATGTATTCCATATAAATATTTCTAAACACAAAAATCGAGTATTGCAGAGTACTAACATCTAAGCTAAAAGGATTTCATGACCAATGAGAATATCGGTAGGCAGACAAGCTATGCCAAACAAGATTTGGTATTCATTTCTTCTATATATCCAAGAATAAACTGAGCACAGATGCAACTACTCACCTAAGTCAGTGGTTCTATTCGTCACTGTATCAGCACAATTGATTTCATAGTTAGAAAGAGATAATGTGACATTACGCATCACTGATAGGAGGATGTAACCTGATATTTTGTCAACCATTTCATCATAAAACAGGAAAATATCACATAACCTTCCTGCACGGTGGAGAATATTTGTAGCTCAGTTAGATGATCTTGATTGCGTTGTGTTCCTTGAGCTGAGTGTTTTAATCATGGAGCTTTCATTGTCTTTCTAGACAAAATTATCAGCACTAACTTCGATACAAAATGGGCCGTCATTATCCCTCCGTGATTAAGTGGCTTCCTCTGACGAGGTGGTTTGCAATTGACTATTTCTTTTGTTGTGCCATTGACTGCATAGATTCTTCTATTGGTTGTATTTCTGCCTGACCTCGAACCTTGTTTTGCCAACCGAACAGAAAAATAATGGACAACAAGGTCCGAAGTCAGGCAGAGAATCAACCAACAGAATAATCTGTGTAGTCAATGACACAGCAAAGGAGACAAACATTCACAAACCACCGACGGAAAGGTAATGATAGCTCACTTCATGTTGAAGTTAGTGCTGATGATTTTGTCTAGAAAGACAATGAAAGCTGCACGATTAAACTATTTTGGTTAGAGGACACAACACAACCAATAACCTTCGAGCTTATTTATCTACAGCGTGACTCAGGCAATATTATTCGACACATATCCAAGGAAGCAGTTCCGTTGATGCTGAAACTTTTGAATATCTAGGGTAACTATTTTCATGGTAAATGATCAATATCTGAAGGAATATTCGGTTCAGCTAAGATTTAACATTGCTGCTTAACAAAATAAAAAGTATCATCAATCCTCTTATCTGTCCTATAGTAACAGATGGCATTAGTGGGATGAACGAAAATCAAACAATATTGTCAAAACAGTTGTTACCAGCTTCTTTTAACAGTAGAAATTCTCACCCAAAGTTTGTTGTATTTTCAGTTGGAACATATGGACCAATATCTCAGAGGAATTATTAGTATGCAACTCATAAGCTTATTTTTTTTAAAGTGCCTAGACAGATTCATTAACTATATACGAGTGTTAAATTCTCTTATCAGCAAATTCTTATTTCTCTACCAAGTTCTATGTTGGAAGTTTTGTCAGCAGACGGAGTTTTTAAATGAAGTAGGATGACCTTAGTTCAAAAAATCTTGATTACCAGTCCCAGGATTGCAAACCAAGTGTTTTACTGACTCAACATTAGTTATGACTGTTAACCAGTCTTCAGTTTCATTCAGTCAATGACAAGATGTATCTTATGACTGAATTTATAGTGAGGGGAACCGATAAACGGTTAGCTCCATGTTTGAACTCTACTAATTGCTTTGTTTCCTTCAATTTAAATCGTTTCCTTAAGACTTATAATCATCTGAAATAAATTCGTTACAACAGATCCAACTATTTAAGTGTGAGTAGCTGATCCAGACAAAATTCACAATGCCTTCTTTATCGATCATAAGACTGACTATTGCTGTAGGAGTAATTCTGTATCATGAAAGATACTCATTACATTATCATTTGAGAATGGAACTTCCCATCCAGTATCTTCATGTCACAAGTTCGGAATTCTAACCTTCCTTCAGAAATCGTATTTTTAAAACCGTGGTTATATTCAACTACTTCCTTTTAAGAATGTTCATATAAAAAATAAAGCAACTGCAGTTGGACAGCTGAAGAAGAAGAAATTGACACAAAGGATGTCTTCTCTGAAATTCGTGTTCTTATTGGTATTCGCCTTGTCGCACGAAGACTGTGTTGTTTATTGCAATTAGTGAAAATGTACTGCAAAGTTAAAAAGACTGGTCTATCAGAATATGCATATACATTTTACAGCCCGTATTGATACATCGAGTAAAATCTGCGCTTACAGCTGCTATTTACCCTTTCTTTCCCACCTCATTATATTCACAAAAGCATTCACTTACAATGGTTAGTATAGTTATATTGTTCAATAGAAATCCTAATTGTACAGTCTATCAATGACACAGTGTTTTGCATCCCATATAATTGCTCCTCGACAAATAATAATCTATCAATGATCAGATAAATGTTTCGGACACTTGATAAGGTAGTTATAACGTACTGAAAACCCACATGGTATCACTTAGTGGCAAAAGCCATAACGACTGATACTTTTCAAGTTGTTTTCATCACAGACTGATATCACCTGCAGAATTATTGGAATCATTGGAGCAATAGAAGACGGTTTCGTCCTATTTCGTGACTCCACAGTATTGTATTCACATGACCTTATGGGGAAATGAGTTCACGGTTGTAAGGCCTCATAGCAAGGGCCTTACAATCCATACTATAACACTTTAACTAATGGTCCACACCAGATTTATTTCGAATCATCATCCGATGTTTATGACACGCAGTCAACTTCACATCCCACCTGTTTCAACCAATGGATCACAGAAAACAGTACATCTTTTAGTAGAAGTTTAAAGTCGTAACTAGTCTTATAAAAAGAATCATTTTTCTATCATAAATGGAAACTTTCTTACTCTGATGTATGATCTGTATCATGTATGCTGGATTTGTGATAGGTATTTACAAAATTTCCTGCAGTTTGAGTATTTCTGACGTTGCCATTGTTATTCATCTCAACATTAGATCTCATTTCTGTTGCTTCCTCAGCTAAGTGTATCTAAAACCAGAAGTATGTCAAAGTTAGCATATGAAATAACTTTAGGCAGTGCTAAACTCTTTCAGCTGAAGTAAAATCTTTAAAAATCAAGTACATTTATCAGGCAATATGAAAGGATTGAATTGTGCAAACACTTGTTCATATTATTCATCAATGTGAAACAGCCATTCGACCAAGAACTCATCTTCAAAATATATAACAACGGTATTCAATATTTTAATGAGTAGATGCTACTGATTGAAGAACTAATTCTCTGTAATGCTTTCAATTTTCATTTTCGGAATTGTAAAGCAAAGGAAAGAATCTGAGTGAAAATGTCGAATGCTAGGTGAAGTTGTGGTTTCTGACCCAGTCGTTTAAGAGAAATAAACTCAAACACTTCTCATTGTCTATTAATTTGATTACAGGACAGTAATTGAAAAAAATTTGTATGGATTTAATTCACTCAAAGATTTATTATCAACTATTTTCAATCTTAAATACGTGTAATATCAAAATTTGCCAGTCATGACTAGTTGAGCCAAACAAGTCGAACATGAGGACAGTTACTCAATGACGGAATTGGATGGAGGTTGAATTGATAGAAGTAGGAAATGCTAATCATTTGATTCAGACTTAGTGGGTCAGTGGTAAGGTGGTGACCATGGAACCTGAATGTCATGAGATCGATTCCTGGAGGGATGGGGTTGTGGGGGTGTACTGCTGAGGAGTCCCGTACTAAGATAAGACAGTTGTCCGGCACTCTCAGGCTTCCGATGGTTCCCAGCTGATGAGAGTTCATGGTGAATACCGATTTGAAATTAATCAATAAATCTCCACAAACCTCCAAATTGAATTCGCTAGAAGTGTTTACATACTGAAATCAGTGCAACCGAAATATATATTCGAGCAACAGGAAGAGAGCATTATCTTCGTATAATACACAGATCTCACTTTCTAAATTTACAGAATCCTCTAATTTATGTATTGTTCATCTAGTCCAGTCAGTAACCCTCTTTATAGTATGCTCCCACTTTCCATGTATTTCGAGATTAAAATTATTTGATATTGTAAATAGCTGGTGAAAAAACCTTATATGTATCAATTCATTCTGTTCATCTTCATTGTTCTCAGTGTATTCAGTCAAAAGTGACCGTTCTTATATTAGCTGTGTTACAGAAAATATTTTGATATTACTTGGTTGGAGGCAGTCGACAGGAAGCCCTGGATCTAGGTTTCGTGCCTTTTGATACTCGTCAGCAAGGTGTGCCTGCAACCTCCATGGAACTGATGTCCCGCCTGAGATTCGAACCCGTGTCACCCAGTGTTGTTCCATACCAGACGCTGATGTAACACCAGCTTCCCGTTTAACATCAACACCTTTAAGACTGTTATTATTAGTACTATCCAGACGCAATAACGATCTATTTAAAAAATATTGTACACAGAGAGAATTTGTTGAAAAGATAAATGCTCGGAATTCCATGCTGTATCTCGCATGTTGCTTGAAATAAAGTTATTATTATTATTATCAGTCATTATCATTATTACTATTACTATTATTGTCATTATATTCATAGTTGAGTAGCATAGGTAACTGCTTGTTTTTAAAATCTCCAATCGCCTTTACGTTTTATATTATAGGTTATCAAAGAAGCATTTAAACTGAACTAGTTTCTTAGCTCCAGCTTTCTTATTTTCATACTCATACTGATCTATTTTAAGCATAGAATGAGTCACACATCATCAACGACATAATTGTAGCATAGAGACTACTTGTAGCAAAATTCCTTTAACTCACCACAATGAGCATCGTGGTGTTTAAAATCCCTTTCCTTTAATTCTGATAAGTTTTGACGACTAAAGCGGAGATCAACAGTTACTAGTCCTGTCTCTTTTCAGATTTATTGTTCATACTAGCCATACTAGTCATACTAGCCAAGATGATGTGGTAGGTATTTTGACCATCGTTGACACAGAAGGCAGTTTGTAATCTCCCCCCCCCCATCAAATTACGCAGCTGGAAAATCATAAGGCGATTGACAATATTTTTGAAGAGCCAACTGCTTGATATAGGATAACTGAGTGAGCAGTACAGTAATTGCATCCTTCGTATGTAACCTCACTGAAGGTCATTGTAAAGGCTATAGATGGAGACATAGGTAGTTTTTGCCTTCAGCAAATACAAATAACTGTAAGTGAAGATTGTCATCAAAGCTGTAAGAAACGTTACTAAACATTCACTTGTTTCAGTTGTTTTATCAAAAGCAAAATTTATGTTTTATTACGTCTACACAGTTATTTTCAGGGCCGAACACTTTATCTTTTAGTCACTTCTATTTCGGGAAACAAATTTCATCAGTTTGCATGAAATCTGTAAGCCATGAATACTTTTCTCAATAAATTAAGGACAGAATTAAATAGTAATAACAATTATTCGCCTCACCTCTTCTTGTAACTTGGCCTGTTCCTCTTCAGCTTCTGTTAGTTCTTGTGCATTGGCCAAGTTATCCACAGCAATGGCGAGAAATACATTGAGCAAAGTATCTTAAATAAGTCACAGGGTTAAGGAATAATTTCCAGGTCTATATATGTAGATAATTTTTTTCAACAGTGCAGTTATGGGTATATTTCATGCTCCCTCAAAGACACAAAAGGATATTGCAGTCTGCAAAAGCTGAACTGTAAGATCTAGTTATGCAATTGAGTCAAACTACTTAAGCAGTTGGTTTTATTATAGTTGTTATTGTTGTTTGACCAACTATTTAACACAGTCAGATTAGTCTGGCTTCCATATTTGAAACAAACCCATGAGGTGTAAAGTCATAGCTATCCAGCTGAATGAAACGAGTCTAAAAACTCAACATGAGTTTCAGTCATGTAACAGATACGATCACCTGAAAGGTTTGGGTCATCGTTTGCTTTTGTCCACGAGCAAATGTCAGGCTGTCCATGATTCTGACACTTAATGAATAACAGAGAATTACTTGAAGGTTTTGTGTTGGTGGTATATAAGTAATTATGAGAAAGATTGGTGTAATGAAAAAAAGATTTTGATTAAATTTTGAGTGGATACCATCCATAGAATAATAGGAACCAAAATAATGTAAACGAAAACAACCGAAATATGCTAATGAAATCAGAACCAAGTCCAAGAAAGCATGTGCGTAATTTGGCTGAGTAGAAGTAAATAAGGCGAAAAGGTAATATGAGGAAAAATGAAAAAGATCGTTGATAAGAGTTGGAACAATAAGATCAGTGTTATTGCCACTGACATATGTATAGGTTACGAATGGTCACCTGAATGACTAATATCTAGGGTATTCCCAATTTGACATTGATAGGTGATCTAGAACTAACTGCGATAGTTTCATATTTCATCACGTTATTCCAAGTATTTTCCACAGGAGTTCCTCATGATTTGAATCGCTTTTTATCCCCCCTGTATTGGGAATATAAATCTGACTGCCATTTAAAAACCTCTCTTTCTTCTCAACAAGTTCTTTTGAGTTTTTCATCTTGATAAGTTATCGAGTTTTAAAGATATCTGTAACATTATAACCACTATAATAACTTTTATTCTTACTACTAGAGTATTTGGGTCCAACATTTGTCTCTTCCTAGTTTAAGGGTGTGATTATATACGCTCGGCAGATATCCTGAATGTCTGGCTAAATGTGCTTTCCTAGTCTTATACACAGATTTGCTCCATTTATGTGACAGTACACCCAAATCAAATATTATTCACTCATTGGTTTCTTCCGAGCCAAGATATCTTTGAACCGTAACCATCATTATGAACATGTTCACACAAAATCACACGTCTTCTGTCTTCTAACGCCAAGTTTTTCTTGTACAACAGGACTAGGTGCAACGCTTTAAAACACATTTGACTACGATAATGCTTTGAGTATCTTGGTAGTATTGAATGTTCTAATGAAGTGAGTTATAAATTTGCATCAGCTACCTCAACACGGATTCAGTTTTTAAATCAAGTTTAATGGCCAACCACCTATATCGCTGTACTCTGTTTAGATTAGTGATAAATTTTCTGTAAGAAATACAGGGTAAATATTTTGAGGTATTTACTTCAGTTTGTGAAATAGGTCCCTATTTTTCCTTTCTCATACTCAATTTAGCAAGCAACTTTATATGATGGCTCAAAATCACCTAACAATTCTGAGAACAGTAAATTAATAACGGAATAGAAAAATGTAGGAAGACAGTATTATCAAAACTGATAGAACTAATTTCCCATTGAAAAGAAGAAGATTGTTTAATAGGCAAACAAATAATAAAAGCGTTCTATAACTCTTCTTCAAGCTAGTTCATATCTTAATTATCTAACCGACATTTAAGCATATAAATTAAACAGTTCATTGAATGCGACTGAATAAGGATACAATTTCCAAAGACCATAACTAATACAAAATAAACACTGTAAATTGCACCTCCTCCTGTAACTCCACCTTGTGCTCGAATACCATTATACATAATTGTGTTCCAGTCTTCTCCTGTTAAAATCTGTTTAAGAAGAAAAGAGATATTAAATTTTAGATTAGTTGTTTTCCAGACATTCTTACGTGAACTTTAAGTAAACAAAGTAATTTGAACTTCTGAAGTACTTTACACACTAAAGTGTGAAATGATGCATTTGCCAAAATAAATATTATCCTAAATAATATCCTCTTTAGATTATGTTTCAGACATGAATAGCTTCAGAACATCACTATCTCTTTTTGCCAGTTGAACAACTAGAAAGTAAATTTTAGCGTTTATTTCTCCTAACATTGTAAACTCTAATGACGGATGACAGTTATTAGAATTTTTAAGAGAATTCTGTGCATTAAATACATTTTCAGATATACTGAAGGCGTCATTAACAAATATCTTAGGTAATGTCAGTCGATTGATCATCTCAGTAAACTCGTATAGCATAACTTTCATAAACTGTTGAAAAGTGTAAATGTCAATCAAATTTAGCTGATGTTAACATTCTCCTGATTTTACCTCATGTATGTTAGAGTATGTAATTTAGGCGTAAATTTTAAAATGGCGATAAAAACATTAGGTTAAATATGTACAATTAATTAGAAATAATACGCTGTATAAGGTGATTGTGATCTTCTTGATTGTGGCTGGCTCGATCATACAGCAAACTGCGAAGAGCTGTGAGAAGTAGCCATACGCTGGCTGGACCGATAAAAAGACTCCAGAAGAAGATAAAGATTTTACCGATGACGATTTATGTCTACTGTTTTGCCGCACAAACTCGAAGATCTGCGGCGAAAACTGACAAGTTGACAGAAGAGGCAGGGCAGCGAAAACAAAACTTCAAATGGATGAAGAGAAGACAGAGGTGATGAAGATACCCAACAAACAACAGCATCAACAACAAGCACCAATCACCATCAACAGGAGAAACCTAAACGAATTTGTCTCTTTCACCTACCTGTCTAGGCAATATCGTTTCAACTACAGACGGCACAGGCACAGATGAGGATGTCAAAACAGCCAGGATTAGAAAGACAGCAACACAGGTCTTCACTAACCTAAAATCATCATTGTGGAGGTCTACTGCACCGCACTGCACTGCACTCAGCATAAAGCGTGAACAACATCCGGATTTTCAACACCAATTCAGTCATGTCACTGCTGCTATATGGTTCAGGAACTTGGCGTGTCACAAAAAGCACTTCCAACAAACTACACACATACATCAAATCAACAGCTGCCTACGCTGGCTCGATACTGAAGATGGAGATCAGGTGGCCAGAATAATAAGAATAAGCAAGAAGGAACTCTGACTGGCTGTCAGCTAACCAACCAAGAACCCACCACCAAGTAATTATGCAGAAGAAAGGGGAGATGGATTGGGGGTACACTGGGAAGACTATTAGGGGAGATCACGTGCCAGGCCAGGCCCTCAAGTAGAACCCAAATGGGAAAAGACGAATTGGGCTTCCGAGGTGAGGGTGACATGGAGGAGATGATGTGAGGAGGAAATGAAAGCTTGTGGGCAGTTGTGGCACCAGGTTCAAAAGACTGGAGACAAAACAGTGCAATGGAGGCGTGCTACTGAAGCTTTATATTCCACTAGGAACCCAAGGGACAAATAATAATCGTAATTATCAAGACGTCCACAGAATGGGTTTACTTGTATTGCCATGATAACAAAATACATTTAATAAGACAATCAGACAGAATGTTGGAGAATAAATTGCATGTCACTTACCTGAAACACAGTTAACAAAGCTTTAACAAATGTGTCAAAATGTTGTGTGGGTCGACCTTCGTCAAAATTGAAACTACAAAAAAGTGGGAAGTTTATTAAGAATGCATACTGTGAATGAGCACATTAAATAATTTAAAAAATTCAGAGATTATGACATCAACTAGTAAAAAGACTGTGGATGTGACAAGATTCAAACTACGGACTCTGGTTTAAGAGTGACTTTAAAGGCCACTTGAGCAACAACTGAAACAACCAATTTTATGAAAATCTGCCTTTCTAACCATAATAAAGAAATTTAATTGGATATTTCGATTGTTGCTAGGGTGGCCTCTAAAGTCTCCCTTGGCTTAATGACTCATTCCTCCAATGCCTCACTTGTCTGCTACAGCTGCAAGAAAGATTTCATTTGAACTCAACCTTGAGGATTGGAAACCTCAGACAGCATGTTTTGAAAAAAAAAATCACTTTTTTATTCATAATGAAAATGCAAACCACATTACTATTTATTGGCATACTTGTTATTCTCCGTTGTTTTTTTGATCGAATTGTTCGACCTCTATTGGCATATGGGCTCCTATGCGGATACCTTGATATTGCCTGAATGTTAGTTATAATAAACTGGTTGGTTGTGGCTAGCGAAAGAATCCCGGATGCGTTGGGTACTAGGTTTAAGTCCCAGTGGGTACAACATCATTGGGGTGCAGGTACATCCAGCTGACAAGTCCCAAATAGGAAGAAACACGCGTCCTGGATTCTTCTGCTAGGCACGAATAACCAATTTGTCACGAACTACATTGTTAAACAATGATTTCATTTAGTAAAAGGGTAAAATTAGTGACTGAATAAAGCAAGCTTTTTCTTTCTAAACTCGATAAATACTAAGGTTTATCACAAAACAGTCTTTGGAAATGGAAACTATCTGTTTTTTACTTATTATTGTATTATTATTTGTTCCTTGGGTTCCTAGTGGAATATAAAGCTTCAGTAGCACGCCTCCATTGCACTGTTTTGTCTCCAGTCTTTTGAACCTGGTGCCACAACTGCCCACAAGCTTTCATTTCCTCCTCACATCATCTCCTCCATGTCACCCTCACCTCGGAAGCCCAATTCGTCTTTTCCCATTTGGGTTCTACTTGAGGGCCTGGCCTGGCACGTGATCTCCCCTAATAGTCTTCCCAGTGTACCCCCAATCCATCTCCCCTTTCTTCTGCATAATTACTTGGTGGTGGGTTCTTGGTTGGTTAGCTGACAGCCAGTCAGAGTTCCTTCTTGCTTATTCTTATTATTCTGGCCACCTGATCTCCATCTTCAGTATCGAGCCAGCGTAGGCAGCTGTTGATTTGATGTATGTGTGTAGTTTGTTGGAAGTGCTTTTTGTGACACGCCAAGTTCCTGAACCATATAGCAGCAGTGACATGACTGAATTGGTGTTGAAAATCCGGATGTTGTTCACGCTTTATGCTGAGTGCAGTGCAGTGCGGTGCAGTAGACCTCCACAATGATGATTTTAGGTTAGTGAAGACCTGTGTTGCTGTCTTTCTAATCCTGGCTGTTTTGACATCCTCATCTGTGCCTGTGCCGTCTGTAGTTGAAACGATATTGCCTAGACAGGTAGGTGAAAGAGACAAATTCGTTTAGGTTTCTCCTGTTGATGGTGATTGGTGCTTGTTGTTGATGCTGTTGTTTGTTGGGTATCTTCATCACCTCTGTCTTCTCTTCATCCATTTGAAGTTTTGTTTTCGCTGCCCTGCCTCTTCTGTCAACTTGTTAGTTTTCGCCTGTAGATCTTCGATTTCTGTTTTTAACTTGGAATATAACGGTTACATTTATGTTCGCTAGCAAGATGAAATAAACCTGACCAATTCTGTATCCAGAACTTAGATCTTATCAGGTGACATGGCATATTTTTAGCTGTAAATATGACATATAGTATCTTCTAATATATTCTAGTAATCAATCTGCGAATTAGATGTTTTCATTGTAATATTGTTCAATCCTTAGTTCAGTCATAGTTTCCAGACTATAATCGATCATGTAATGCAATGAACAGATATTGAAAACATAGTAGTGAACATCAGTTTGAATGGATCTAGATTGTTGTGCTCTACGGCAAACAATGTGAAAAGTAGTTAGAATGAATGAAATGGAGGTAAAGAAACTGAAAGAATACTGAAATCATTGGAAATGGAAAAGAAAGCGAACGAAATCTGTTGAATGATATGACATCTGAAATTAAGAGGATGAAAAGAATTGGATGCTTTTTAGTCACAGAATCACAGTTTAAATTATAAATAATGAAGTCTCCAACGTTCGATCTAAGTCCAGTTAGCTAGAAAGTCGGAGATTACTTACACGATAAACCTAAAAGTCATTCAATACTTTCATGTTAGTTTTTAGTGTCTTTTTTGATCTTCGTTATGTAAGAATAGAACCTTACCAGTAATCTCGACCACAGAAACTTCACCTTAAATAAAAATCATAAAAAGATTTTTTTTATTGCCTTGGAAAAATCCTTATTCAAGACATTGTGACAATTCACCAAACTCTGGATAATGCCTTTTTACTTCATGCATGTGAAACTTGATCCATGTCTTCGCGAAGAACCAGGGAGGTCATCTGACCTGGTAACGAAGCATATATGACTAGGTAGTAGAGATTGAAAATCATTTAAATAATTGTTGCAGTTGTTGTCTTCTGGTCTTACAGTCATTACAACAACTACTACCAGTTTTTCAACTCTACTCAAGCTTTCAGAAACGTTAGTTTTACCACTGTAGATTGCAAATACAGATTACTAGGAAAAAAAAGTAATTATCTTAGGATACATTTATTGCTTTATATCACATCTACTTTAGTTTTTATGAGATAACGATATGTTTTCGAATACTATTCGAAATATTGAACAAAACCTTGGGTTGTGTACATTAGCTCGTAACCTGAAGTTAATTTATTTTCGTCACGGAACTTAAATCATTACCATACAGTAGACACTGATATGAATTAGGTAAATTAATAAAAACAATTCCTCTACAAAGAATTCTCTAATTGATGTCGATTTATGAACAAATACAGGTGACATCTTATAATTCAGCAATAAGGTAAAAACTTCCGGTAATACCAGTTTCCTCAAGATTGTTTTGTCCCATCACGCATGAAACATAGGCTGGTAAAGAGACCTTATTAAGTGAATCCAAAACGTTTTCTTTAGATCAATAATTTTTTTTTACAGAACACCTGATTGGACGCTATTCAGCTATTAAGTTCCCTAAAAATTTGCCTAACTCTTAAGTATAGTTCAGTCAATAAAAAGTGAGTAATAAGAAAGCCCAAATTAATATCCTGTTTTTTAAACTGTACATATACATATGTTATTCCAGCAATTATTGTATCTTACGTCTTTTCTACCAATTTCAGTTTGATGAAAAAGAAATTGACAGTAGAAATGACTGATACCTATCATAAAGTACAGAGCTCCAACTTAATAACATGAAATATATCTAACTATATATACTCAATTCTTCAAGGAAATAAATGAACAACCGAGAGCTTTTGCAATGAAATTATTTACATTGAATTTCAGGAATAGGAAAAAGATGCAAATATTGTGATCAATTATACTTTTAATAAGCAATTTAAAGAAAATGCTCATGTCATGCTGGAAAGAATGTTTATCAGTATTAGAATGTTGGAACTGGAAGACACTAATGAACCTATAGAGAGTTTACTCAGTGGAATTACATTCATGTAGGAAGTTGAACATGGTCAACTGTTTTGTAATTTCTGGACAATCTCACCTTCACACCATGTAAGATTGGGATACAACTAATAACGTAATCAAAGGAAATTATATCCATACATTCTTCGAAATGATAACTGCATTAAAATACAGCATAAGCATTTGACTTCTAAAGACAGAAGAAAATGCATCTTTTTAGTGAATGGTAACTTAAAAATGGGTCAACATCTTAGGAATAACCAATAATGTTTCATCGTCAGAAGTATCTAATAATTGTTGATCCCTTACAATTCTACATGGTTGATCACAAAAATGCTACGATCAAGACTATTGGAAAATGAATTACTGAAGAGTTTTATAAAAACTTTATTAAGAGAACTTGGTCCATGACGTTGCATGCAATGAACTTAGACCACAGGATTACATTTTCACGTCACGTATGAAAGGAAAACTACGGCTTATGTACAGAGATGATGCACCATATCTACGATCGATTTCACAAACCACGAACTTTCTTGCTGATTAGGGTTACGAGAAGCACATCGTTGCTAACATTTATTAATACACTCCTGGAAGTACTCCTTTTATTTTGCCTAAAGAACAAATTATTTGAAGATATCTGATGTAGTCGCGGAATTAGATGATATAACACAAGCATACCACTTCTAGAAATAATACCTATGTTCTTTCGAAGCATAACAAATAATGTTACTAAAATTTGAGCTTAGAAGTTTTCTCCTTACCAGCAACGAAGGTGATGAATCCTAGTTCAGCACCTTTTTGTACTGATAGGTAGATGGAGTAGCGATATGAGGTTCACTAAAACCAGTAATGGCTGATAATATTTTGTAGCGAGAAAGTGCTACACCAGACTGTAAGATGAGTCTGTTTGGCTTATTCCATTTGTGTGTGTGTGAAGACTTACAAAAAGCAATAACGTTCACTCAGTACTTGACTGTTGACTAATCTTGACTGATTCATGAAGCCAAAGGAGAATAAGACTATATAAAAATGTATACATAGCGAAACTACTGAGAACAGTTAACACCTAAGACCTTCATATTTTTGTTCGGTAAGGTAAACTAGAAGTTCTACGAAAAATCTATATAATGGAGCTAAAATTGTGCTCCAAAACAGGTTGAATACGGAATTTGACTGAACATTTTCCCACCATCCTAATATCTACCATTTACCCTACAGTGAAACTTGTCCAACAACATCAAATTACGTAATCAGTTACACGTTCCAAGTTAGGATTCTTTTTAATTCTTGTTAACTCCAACATAATTTATTAATTCATGGATGTATTGTGATGTAAGTTCATAGGAAGAACGGAG